GGCAATGTTTGATCGCCCCATGCACCCAAGTATTTTGGCACCAGAGACTCTCCATGTTTTGCTTTCTAGGCACACACACATATGAAATTATAAATATGGTAGTTGAAACACAATACATTTATACCCCAGATGCTGTAGTGGTTGAGCTTAGCTACGTCACATTCCTATAAGCTGGTGCATTTTTGACTGGCTGTTACATCTGCAACATTGTAAGGTCATTCACCAGTGATTCCAATTTTAAATCACAGCAAAACTAGTCGTTGATGGTCAGCCGCACATGAAAACTAGTTGTCCGAGCCCTCATACAGCACCACAGTTTAGTGTTGCGCAACTTGGAGTGCAGTATTACTGGCAGGACATAAAAAACTTTTACAGAGCAAAATTGTTTCTGTCAAATTTGAGCCTTCCACCAAACAAAGGACAAAGGAGAATTTTCGACAAAACCTCTGTTATAGATCACTTTGAGATCACTGAACAAGGCTGCCCTCATGAGTATTTTGTAGGTTATCCGACTGAACGTAATGCATTGTCGTTAGTACAGAACCCACATAATAACTGTTGTTATTTTATTCATGATTATTGTGATATATATTATGTCCTGGTGCTAACTCCCGAACTGCTTTGGCAAAATATAGCCTTCTAGTGGCTAAATATAGTGCTCAGCACAGCATGTCTGCCACGTTTGTGAAGTGCACTGCTGAAGGTGTTTGGAGACTCATGCAGGTGCACTGGTGCTCTTCTGGCTGGAATGATGACACATTATGGAAAAAAATATAACACTTTCTTTTTGGCTCATTTTCTACTATAAGAGAGAACATATAGCAAAGTCCAATTTAAAAAAAAATGTTTTGCAGTGATTATTACCATCAAGCTGTGACCTCTGCAGCTGATTCCTAGAGACTCATTAAGTGATTATATCTTGGTCAAATCTCAGTTATTTCCACTATAAAGACGCAGCCCCTCCTCCCCCGAGGCCAATGGAGACTACAGCTGATCCTCTGCAGCTGGCCCGCCTCCCCAGTCAACTGCTGGGGGCCGGGGCCTGAGGAAGCAAAGGCCGGGTAGGGCCAAGATGGGCCAAGAGAGGCACGAGGGTGAGGACGTGCAAGATGTGGGCGGCGTGGGGATGGGGGAAAAAGGGATTTGCGCTCTTTCAGCTCGTCGTCAGCTCTTCATGCTCCACTGACCTCAGTAATAGATAAGCACACCCTGCAGCTCAGCATAATGACCGGCTTCATCCTCAAAACTAAACGGCACCGCATCGCCCCGTGCTCCATTTGCAACACTGTTCCCGTCGTATGAACTGGAGATATATATGTGCCTTTTGCGCTTGTCACTAATAATCATTCATGCAAAACTCAGGTTTAACATGAGTTCATGGAGGAAATCATGCAGGTATGGCAAATAAATGTTGATGTTGCATGCATTAGCAGGCTGCCCCTCATTGCATTGTTTGATGGTGCAGTTCCTAACCCTGGAAAAAATACAAATTCTCGTCGGTTGCAGAAACCACCTAGCACCATACGTGTTTTAGTGTAGTTACCGTCATCTCCATTGAAACCATTCATAAGCTCATGCATATTTATGTCAATATAGGTCATATAAAACCTAATTTTATTCAACTAAAAAAAAGAAAGAAAAACGAGACACTTCAAGAGCCCAATGAAGTCTAACTGCGCGCATGGGTTGAGTTCTCTTTCTTTTGGTACTTTCGTGCATTCCATTTGAATTCAGCACAGAAGAGGTGCGCACAGTCTTTGACATTGTCGAAGCAGAAATGGACTCGCTGGAGTCCATGCAGAAGATCCAAGCAAGCAAAGTACGTTTATATGGACCTGCAAGTAGAGCTCTTTTACAGATGGATGGAATAAGTTGCCCAAGGCGATCACAGTTCACTGCTGTTAGGAGGCACTTTGAGATCGTCTTCCACTGAGTAATTTTGGTTGCCGACCCCTGATCTAAAGGATTAGTCTTTTTTTGTGATTCTACCACAGATGAATACCAGTGATGGAAAAGAAATGTGACGATGACCAAGAAGCCAGAAATACATTTTTGTTATTGTGAGCCAGTGTCAAAAACGATATACAGCATTTCTTTAGATGCTCTGTGTAGAAAACACAGAGTATCACGAGTGACAGGAGCCCGTTTATTCACATACAATTGCAACGACCAGTTGTACGTGTACAGTGGACATGGCATCGATAGAAGAGCTCGGTCTCTCTTAGGTAGTCACGTTGAGTTCACATGTGGACGTGTGATTCATGTTCTTGTACGTGTGTGTTGATGACAGCATTAAGATGATTAGTTAGTATGCAGAGCCAAAGCCGCATGTGTAATGTGAAAGAGACACACCACGGGGAACGTGACTAAAAATTTACAACTCAGCAGTGGTGTCATGGCTATGAAGCAAATGGATTGAATTATTTCTTGCAAAGACGTAGTGGGGATGAAGCTGAACTTTGAATGTTTGAGACGGCTGCCACAGACGCATGCTAGAATTACATCAACCAGATGCCTTGGAACAATTTTCTTTGTATTTGCTACCTTTCAAATGTTGACATTTTTCTATTCTGCTACAACTCGTAATTGAATATACAGTATATCAGACATTTCTCCTCATTGTCTTTATGTTGAACAATAGACAGAGTCACTCTGAAAGGAAAATTAGGTCAGTCCATTAAGTAAATAATTATAAAACATTAATCCACAATGCATTACAGAAAGGAGCAGAGTTCACTTCCTTTGGTTGGAACTCATTTCGTGTGGTAATTAGGCAGATAGCTTGATATTAAGCACAACCAACATCCCACTAGACATCCCTCATCCAGCTGACACAAGAATAAAAAAAATATCATTAGGTAATTACAGCTCACTACTTCTTGTTGAGGATACGAACTCTCTATGCCTGTGGATAATTAGGACTGCTGAATGTGGGGCAAATCTTTTATCGCTAACCTTCATGAAACATGTAATTCAAATCTATTGTAGGTAGACTCTAAGAGAATGATGACGTAATTTTAAATTGAATATGACACCATTTGATGTGAGTCTGATGGTGTTACATAACAAATCGCGCTGACGAAAGTCTTGTCATTATATTGCGCTATAAACATGAGCAATGTGGTGTCCACCTGTCAGGCAGCGTGCAGTGCATGACGCCAAGGATAGTAAACGGATTACAGCACAAGAGGCTTCTTCGCACATGACAACTATGTTACCTACTCAAGTGGTGCCAGCCTCCAGCAGTTACTTTCACTTTTTTTCTACTCGCACACAACACTATTCCATCGGCAAAAGCAGGAAGCACGGGGCACTATTTCCAGGACGGGTTTCTCATTGGGCAAGCAGATACATCATCATAGTGTCATTGTAAATTCTGACACAACGTGGCTGGAAATGACAGGGTCATTATGTCATGGTTTTTGCAATTTCCCATGGAACTATTTTGAAGGTAAAAACTGACCACCCGAAAGCCGACTGGGTAACGTGCAGTGCAAGTTCCCTGAACCGCTATAACAGAAATGACAACAGTATGATTGTTTGAAACAGTTTGTGCATTATCATCTCATGTTTCAATGCCCATTGACATTGAGCTAAACTTTCTGGTGTGTGTGCCTTGGCCTCCAGGGGCAGTAGAATACACAACAAATTAATGATCTCATTTTAGGTCTTAGCTCAGCAAGCTACATTAGTCGTTTTTCACAGAGGGTAAAAACCATATGCCTGTCTTGTTATAGTGGCTGACTATATGTGTTGCTGCACTGTTATTGTTGAAATATCCTTTGCTTACAGCGTTCTAATATTGCTGGTTTTGTTAGTCCATCAATGGCATTATGGGTGAGCATTAAGCTAGCTGACTTTCGTGAGACAGAGTTGTGTGGTTTGATTTAATAATAACATGCAATTCTCTGTTGACGTTTAGTTTTACAGTACCAACCAACTGGAAATGGCAATGAATAGCTTGGCCTCTTTTTTGAAGAAGTATTCACAATCGGCTGCTTGCTGTGAAGCTGGCTTTTCTTTTTGGTGATGATTGCAAAACAAGCATACACTTATGTCACAGAGTGGTCAGCGTGTGCACTTTCATGAATTACATTACTACAGTATTTTCACGACCAGAGGGTGCACATAAAAGTCTGAAATGGAGGGGTGCCTAATAATGTGGGGTGTCTTGTTCATGCACATTCACCATCAAGTCGTCTGCTTCTGACAGGTCACTGCAGCTCATCAAGATTGTGTAGCTGGCATACAAAATTACAGATGCAGTGGAAGCGTATGTGTGTGTGTGTTCAATGAGTAAAAACGATAAGGTCTTGATTAATACAAGAGCATAAAATCGAGGACTAACCACATTGAAAGGAAAGAGTCTGTGGGGACATCACTTAATGGAGCTGAGATGTGGTTAGCCATAAACCTGTCCAATGGTTAAACTCAAGGAACAGGATAACGCTCAGCTCTTTATTGACAAATGATTGGCTAGTCATTAAAAAACAAAAAAACATGGCTGCTGATAGCCACAATGCAAACAGAGATGATCCCGTTAAAGGAACAATAAAATAAGAAATAAAAACCAAGAAATAGTAAATAGTCTAGACCAGATTTCAATTACTGTATTATTATTAGATGCAATGGTGTTGTTTAACCCCTCACACAAGATCTCCTCCACCCTGCAGACAATGTTAGTTGCTTAGGGAGGTTATGATGGTCAGAAGAGCTTCTTATGATGGAAAGCTATACTGATAGTGTGACTTGTAGCCTGGGGGAGGGTCATCGCAGGAGGCGGGAAGGGAGTTGCAGTAACGGGAAGGGGATTAACGGAGGGAATAAAGACAGCAGGAGAGGGGAAAAAAATATCCCTGTAGACTGGAAAGTCACTCAGTACTGCTCCCTCCAGATGAATGATGTGCACTGGTGTCATCAAGGCATTTTTTTTAACACAATGTCTTTCCACTACCAAAGGGCATGACAGGAGTAAGCAGAAAAAAAAATCACTTACTTACCCATTATGTTTGAGTTCATAAAAGGTGTCGGGGACAATCCTTCATTGGACACTAATCGACTGTCACTCAAATGATCGCCATAATGAGGGCTGTCTGTGAAAGCCTGAGGAAAGAGATCACAATATTAAGCACATTATTGGGCAACATACTTCAGTAATTGAGTCCTATGACATAGGCTTAATGAGTAGGCGGAGACGCCTGTTATAAAATCAGTTGTGTATACTCTTTGTGAGGAAGTAACTTGGAAAATGAAGAATCTTGGTCTCCTATGTGACTTGCCGACAGGCATCAAACTTGAAAATGAGTTTTTGAGTTGATTTTTTTTTTCTATTTAAAAACATAATTCAGAGTATCAAACTGTTGTTTAAGGGGCGGAAAAATTTGAAAGATGCAATCCGACATCATTCACAGGAACCTGCAGCTTTTAAAAAATTGCTTTTTTTCCTCCTGCAGCTTAACAGTACCTTTTCATGACAGTTATCTACTTCAGAGGCTTAGGTCTAAATATCGGCCACAGCATGGTTTTTGAAAACTCGAGGTCCAAAGTAATAAAAGACTCGCTGTTACTGTCCTAATCCCAAATCCTTATGTGATTCAGTCAAACACAACTCCCTGAGCTGCATTAGCTACCACCAGGGAGATCGCAAACAGCAGTTGGCTTGCATTTCTTGACTTATTTTGGCCAACTCATACCCTTTGAATCCAATATACAAAAAAAAAAATCTTATTATCCATCGTTTTTTGGGGGGTGACTTCATGATGATGGAGGAATTTCAAAGGCAGCAGAGTTTTGCTCTCTATGGAGGGGAAGCTATGCGATTCCCTATTGTGCTGCTGCCTTGCTGCCAGGCCGCACATACTGTTAATCAAACCACGAACAACCTCAAAGACAACAAAAGCTTTGTGAGAAGATCGAGCAAACATATATCCACGACTAACGTGAGTGGCGTTTCCTCTCCACTGCAGCAGAAGTAGGAAAATACGTCAAACTATAGTCATAATTAAAGAAAGCAAGAAAGTGCTTGCTGGTAATGGACTATTAAAATCAGTCCTCTGCATGTGCTCTTTGACTACCTGTGTGAAGCAGGAAAAGGCTAGCAGGGCTGCTCGAGAAGGCAAAGAAAAAGGAGGTGGGAGAGATAATAGTCAATGCTCCCCTGGATAGTGTTAGATCGTCAATCGCAGAACCTTCATCAAACATTCATACAAGATGCTAACACATTCTGTCATCGCTGCCATGGGGCATTAGTACTGTAGCACTAGTGGCTAAATAACTTTCAGAGTACTGTCGCAGTAGGCAAGCCACAGCTCACCCAGCCTCCTACTCACAACAGTATTTAAAAAGTCCTCTCAAGATGCAACATCCCAGATGATTGTGTGACTGCGGTTTGGGAGGCGAGGATGCGGTCATGATGGATGCATGCACGGTCCGGTATCAAGTCCGGGCACGAAACCCGGGGGAAGGGGCGGTGTCGTGCAGCAGAGGCGGCAATGCCTTGGCTGTCAGAGTGGCAGCCTACAGCCACAGCTGCCCAGGATACAGCGGCTGGCTCGGAGCCAAGGTCAGAATGGCAGGACTGGGGACTTTTCACAGTCGACTGATCACATACACTCATGGCACAAGTGCAGAGGAGCTCTGAATTTCTTTTGTAGCAGGCAAAACAGAAAACGGCTTGGCTGTCCAAGAACTTAAGCTGGGACAGACATTGATGGATTCAGTCTTAAACGGGGGGGGGGGGCATGCTTGTTATTATTTTATTTTTTTATTTATTTTCTCATCATTACTGAGTGGTAAAGTTGACTTTACCTAAAGGCTGTTAATCGACTAATCTACTGATCCTACCAAATATAATCCCCAAAGTCAGTATTAGGCGAACCTACATAATGTGAAGAATCGAGTGAAAGGTGTTTATATTTTGGTTAACTTATTTAGTTACATTAGAATATACATATACCGTATCTATTCTCTTGAACTGCATAAGATCTTATTCGATGATATAACCATATTTAACGATAGTGTCAGAGAATCCATAGACTGTAGATATGGTACTTGAGACTTAAATAACAAATCATGTGTCATAATTCTTCTCAGGCTCTGTAAAACAATTCAATATCAGTGTCAATTGCCTATGCAGCTGTGTGTGTGTGTGTGTGTGTGTGTGTGTGTGTGTGTGTGTGTGTGTGTGTGTGTGTGTGTGTGTGTGTGTGTGTACGTCTGTACATCTGATGGAGTAAACAGCTGTCTGCTTGCTGATGCTTGTGCCTTGCAATGTCACCAACATTCATTTATATGCACCTGGAGCAAATATATCCCAAGCGTCTCTGTCTTACAATTCAAATCAAGCTGCAAGTGTTACCATTGCCTGTAGATGTTCATTCGGGAAGGGCACAGAGCAATAAACAAGCACCACGACCAGAGTGGTGCTGACATTTAACTGAGTTCTGATAGAGAGTGACAGGAGATTGACATTAAATGAAATTCATACAGGACATCGAGAACAGCCAATGTGCGAGGGGCAAACAAATGGCGTGAGAGTGGTTCAGACGTCTCACTTATATATACATGTTTATTCTTATGAACCCCAACCAGCGATGCTCACTCTTAACAAGAGTTTCCTAAACACACACATAGAGATGGGACAAATCAGGCATTCTAACTCAAGAGCTATACAGTACTTTAGCCAAGGGCTGGCACAAATCTGTACCAATATTTCAAGATCCTTCCAAAGAGAATTCAGATCCGTGTTTCTAAATACATAATATGAATGTTTCTCCACCCTGAGATACCACTTGATTGTAGTGGAGGGATCGACACAATTTAACGATATAAAACGACAAAAACCTTTTTCTTTAAACACTACTTCAATAACTTCTTAATAGTGGAGTCACACATTTTTTTCTGGGAACTGTTAAAATATCTTATCTAGGGATGCACGATAACTATTTTTTCTCACCGATACCAACTACTTCCTGATTCTCCAAACCAATGCAGATAACTTGGTGTGTCTGTCTGTGTGTGTGTGTGTGTGTGTGTGTGTGTGTGTGTGTGTGTGTGTGTGTGTATACTACAAATATATCTGTTGTTGCAGCTAAAAAGAATGAAACATTTGAATCCCACTTCCTATGAATGTAGCGGGGTTGGTTGGGTAATTATCTAGAAACGTGGTCAGCGTCAACATAAGGTTGCATGTTTGGCTACTTTCTGAACCCTTTTCACCTCAGACGGTAGGGCGCAATCTCGAATGCTCTGATTGGTCGTTTTGTTATCACCGCCACTAGAGTTTTATATATATTTATAGTCATGGTTCAAAAAAATAAATCACTCACAAACTTATTTACTTAGCAGTGACATTTCAACAATGCACATTGCACGCACATGTTCAGATAAAGGCAGAATCCCAAATATAGTACTACTGGCTATTTTCATGTGAAGACATTTTCAAGGACCAAAATAAAAGCAAGTGATTAAAAGTATCACTTCCCATACTTGCACTTCAAAGAGCCTTTGCCATTGTATTCCAACAAGTACAGTAGGACACAGTGCAGTGTCATATCGTTTTCTATCCATTCATCCATTTTTTGAACCACTTAACCTCAATATTAGCGATTAGCTTAGAAAGAGTTTGGCTCGGCTACGCCACTTTGGTTTACGTGGCCTCCACCACATGCGGTGCTTTCCAGACCCGACAAGAGTCCATAGAGGTCTTGCTGGTTGGCTTTTCCCGTCAGGGATGTTGAAAGTTCGGTGAAAAGTCACTAAAACCCGTCGATTTGTATTTTAATCCAATGGCGATTAAGTCCACATGACTATATATAGTATGCAGCAACAAAGGTAAAATTACAGGTAAAAAGAAAAAAGCACAGCTCAGTTGTCATCACTCTCTGGCGACTGAACCTGTGGCAGCCGTTTGAAACAGGCGGCTCCCGAGGTGGTGCCACGGCTGTTGGGACGGCCGGGGAGCCTCGGCCGCAGCTGTCATTCATATGGATGGAACCCAGCAAGCGGAATGTAAACTCCTAAAAAATATTTTTTATATTCTCCCCAAGTTTCAATATAGCGATAGATAGATAGATATGCGAACACACACGCACACGCGCACACACACACACACACACACACACAGACGTGCGCACACACAAACACAAAATGAAGGTGGCACGGTGGTCGACTGGTTAGCACGTCTGCCTCTCAGTGCAGAGGTATGGGGTTCGATTACAGCTCTGACCTCTGTGTGGAGTTTGCATGTTGACCCCGTGTGTGGATTTTCTCCGGGTACCCCGGTTTTCTCCCACATTCCAAAAACATGCATGGCAGATTAATGGAAAACTCAAAATCGTCCCTAGGTGTGATTGTGAGCGCGAATGGGTGTTCGTCTATGTCTGCCCTGCGATTGGCTGGCAACCAGGGTGTAGCCCGCCTACTGCCCGAAGATAGCTGGGATAGGCTCCACCACGCCCGTGAGCCTTGTGAGGATAATTGGATCAGAAAATGGATGGATGGGATGGATACGCAATGAGTATTGAGTTTTTTGGTTTTTTTGAGGTGGGTGGGGTGAGAAAACTAAAGCCATGTTAATAAATGACTCACTGATACTTCTGCACTCGCACATGCAGCAGAGCCATGGACTATTATAGTGATAGTAACCAGACCAACATTTGTGTAGATGAGACAGCTTTCAATGTCGACCTAATTTTGCTAATATTGGATCGATACACATGACATCGTTTTTTTGCTCCAATATCGCTCTGATAATTAGCAGTCCAATAGTTATTGTTCATCTTATCACACAAAGCAACCAGGTAGTAAAAGATATCCAGCAAGTGTCAGAACATCAACATGGTCTATGTCTATTGCAGGTCATTCAGTGGGCAATCTGCCACCTCCACGTGATGACTGTTAAATGATGTGCTATGGAGCAGAAAGGGCATTCAGAGGTGTTAAGTTAACGGTTATCTTACCCGGGAGGGTTCGTACGAAGGACTGGAATCGCCACCTGAGGCCCAAGATGTTTGGTTGGGCCGCTCATCCATACCTGTCAGGGAAGGACAAGCACAACTCTGTCAACAAGTCAAGATGACTCATGTGCTCCAATGTGCATATGCCCAAATCTTGCACAGCAACATCCTGCAGTAGGTCTGAACGATTTACCGTTTTCAGATCAAAATCATGATCAGCAAGCAGTAGGTCTTGCTTCATAGAGCCATAAAAACTTTGAAAAAAGACTGCCTCCCTCACTTAGCTACTTTCGTGTCCTTACATCATTAGAGTAATAGCTTATAATATGGCAAGGCTATGATGTAATTTTTGTCATGTTTGTAAATGTTATTGGACATAGTGAATACTTCTCTCAAGCCGAAAATTGTGAACTGAATAAAAACTGCCGTATCAGTCAGAAAACTTGCAAGTGAGTCTTTTCCTAAAACCGTCCAGCATTAGCCTGCAGCAGCAACTGGTACTGATTCTACGCTGGATGCATAGTCCGACTTGCATTGGTTTTCTCATAGATGTTGTTTGATTTTAAGACATCTTGCTTTACAGATACATGCTCAGAAAATGTATGAATTTCACTATCGTATCTATTGCTTGCTGGAATAGATTCTAGCTTTCGGCACCTATAGGTATGTTAGTACAGGACAAAGAGTACAGTAAATGGATGGTGAGTGATTTGCTTCAGAATTGTGCATTTGGCATGTGGCACATATGACAGACTTAACATTTTAGCCAACAAGTGCATTCTTGAAGGGATGTTTTGAAAGCTTGAAAAGTTTGATTTAGGATGCAATTAAGTGGACCATTGGGAAAATTCTTCTGTTGACGACGCACACATGCACAGCAAGCGATTGAGCACTGCACATTTACTGACGTGACACCAGAAAAACTGCAACTCGTTTGAAGGCTCACATCCAATATACTGTAATGTAGTGCTACAAAAACATGGCGGATGACCACAAAGAGAGGAAAAGCGCGACTATAAAGGAGTGGCTATTTTGAGAGGCTGTTGGCAAGAAATGATCGCCTCATTCACCGATCGCACCCATGTAGTGCGGTGACAGAGACTTTCTAAGCGTTTCTTTCTGGCCACATCTAACCACATTGGGCCACATCTCACGGTGTGAGGCGGATCTCAAGGTGTCATAAAATGAGAACTATAACAACGGCTTTGCATTTCAAGTGTCATTGATGTATGCCAAGTGACAACACACACAAACACTCACAACCATTCAAAATCAAAGTAAACTTCTGTGTCAAATTCAAAGAGATGAATAAATAAAATCAATAACGTCACCCAAATCTGCAGAGGTAGACCATATGGCATATGCTGAAACACATATGTAATTTTTTTTTTAAAAACAGATTTGGGTGATACAGTCAGTAAAATATGTTTGATAGTTTGTGCTGCTTAAGGCAATATTGTGCTCGCAGTAACGGCAGTTATTGATTGTTCCTGATGTTATTTTGTGTGTCTCAGAAAACTGTAATGTCATTTGTTCAACTTTGTCTTTAAATAGAAAAATGCCTAATAAATCATGGATGATCTAAAAAGTAACACAATCCCAAGCACACAAACGTTTAGGTGAAACTGTGATTATGCATTAGATGCAAACATTTAGCCCGCTGGGTGAAGGAACGGAGCCAAATGTGTGAGGCGACAGAACAGAAATAGACCCTGAGGGCTGCTGTCTGGCTCAATGACCTGACACTCTTTAGTATGGCATTATCAATTTGATATTTGATTACTTCTTCTATTCATCAAATACGACACGATCGTGTGTAACCAGTTAGAAAATGGACTGCTATTACATGACAGTTCATTGTCTCAACATCTTTATCAAGGCAGCTTCACACTAGCCATTCATCAGTCGCAACTACACTGAGGAGTCAATGGCCCATAAACATGCATCATCAACACAGCTGGAAGGGAGGGAAGAAGTGATGAATCTCTGTCAAAGGCCCTGGGAATATATATTTTCTTCCAATCCATCTTTCTGTGGCATGTCTTGCCGGTTATGCTCTACCTCAATTATATGGCGGTGCCCAGCTGAGATGCAATAGTCCAAACTCTCATTCCAGGCAATTTCCACACCTCTGTCTGCACACTCCCTCGCCTTATGTTCACAATCACTTAGGTAGGCGCTTCTTCCCTCTTTGAGGATCACAAACACAGGAGGACAAACTGGAGGCCGGCTGCAGAAGGGATGTACTCGCAGTCGGGCAGATATACTTTGGAGGTTCAGCAGTTTATTTTGTCATCATAATTTTCTGCAGCTGGTCCCCTTCTATATTCACTATGACAAACTGGGCCAATATCTTGAGATCGTATAACATTGACATTGGGGATGGTATGACTCATGACTCAAATTCTAGACACAAGGGTACAGTCGGACTACGAAGCCATTGCATCCAAATGTATCATTGACTGAAATAAAATTACTGCTCCACTATTTAACACCACTGCATGAACGTTGATAAACTCCATGTGGTAGCATCATGTTTCTCCAGTTTTGAAGCATTTTGTAATAAGGAAACTAGCACTCTATGTATAAAGCAAATAGTAATATCATAAGGTAAATAATTAAACGGTTTGTGTATCATAATTAACTCAGTGCAACACTTTCTGGTGTGTGTGTGGCTGGGAGTGTAGGATAATATAGTCATGAAGACAGAAAAAATTCCTGACTGTAAGGGATTTAGTGCAATGCAGTAATAGTGGTTGCTTTTTTACAGAGGTGTATTGTTGAATCGTCTGTCTCCATGTGTTGATGCACCATTTGTGTTCAAATATCCTAATATCCTGCATTATAACGATACAACACTGATGCTATTCTTTAGCCAATGTATGGCTTTTTGCACTGTTGGTTAGCATTACACTCGCGGAAGGCAACATGGTTAATAATGTGTAATTCTTTTTGTATTAGGTTCAGTTTGACAGTCAACTTAAAATTTGAGTGGCAAAAAAACATGAATACTCTTACACATTTTTTTCTTCTCTACCAAACAGCTGCTTGTTATGTGAGTTAAATTAAGTTCATCGCCATATTCAGATTTTCGACCCATAATGTTCCCAGACAAACCACTGTAGGTGAGGGACAGGAAGTGTATGGAGCTCACACTACATTGCAGTCTTACCTTATGATACTCCGTAAACAAATACGGAGCAGCTCAGCCTCTGGATATCCAACATCATGGCGAAAAATATGCTGTTGACTGTGTGTCGTATTTGTTAACTAATATTTACCCTGGTGTGCGGTGTAATTAAATATTTTGTTATTAATTTGATAGTATGCTTTTGCTAATGCTGTTGCATAAGTGTTCCTAACGTTGTGTCCAATGAGTGCATACGGGATGCTAAATCGTCATTTTTCCGGCCACAGGGGTCAGGGATGACTCTCTTATGCCGTCACCACAACTGAATTCTCAGCCTGTCATGTATGGCATACTCTAGTCATAACAGGTGACAAAGCCTACCACTACCCGCATGAAAATCAACATGCATTTCTCATGCCAGTCGAATGGTACAGTGAACTTTTTGTTCTGTGTTGACTCAATCTGACAAGGTAAATTTTTCTGAAGAAAATCTGGTGACCAGAGAACACTGTAACTGGGTCTATGAGCTTTGGCCCTTCTGCACATTCTCCAGACAGTGTCAAGTCAAGACAACGCCATGCTGGTGAATGCACAACACTACCGTACAGGTGTCATAAACACAACACTGTTATATTGAATGAGGGAGTATAGAGTATGAGACGGGAGCATGAGGACTTGATGCTTGCTGTACGGCCTTCATTGATTGCAAAGTCAATTTTGCTGAGCATTTGGAATCAGCTAACGACGTGTTGTCACTCGTGTTTTTACTTTGAAGTATCTATGTCAACAAGTCAATTTTGCTGAGCATTTGGAATCAGCTAACGTTAGAATGTCAACGTATCGGAGAATATTTTTTTAGCATAAGCGCAGACCGAATTCAACACGTATCTCAAGGCACAATTTAACATTTATCCCAGCAACATCCTACTGACATGGCATATTTGCTCTCAGGAAGTCCTATTTTGAACGATCAAAAAGATTAAGATATTCATTAATGATAAATTTGTGCTCTTCTGACTTCGGAAGGCAGAATTCTCTTTGAGCCCGTTATGTGGTACGGGGGAGGGGGAGGGCAAAGCAAATCTCTCTCTCTCTCATTCTCTCTCTCTCTCTCTCTCTCTCTCTCTCTCTCTCTCTCTCTCTCTCTCTCTCTCTCTCTCTCTCTCTCTCTCTCTCTCTCTCTCTCTCTCTCTCTCTCTCTCTCTCTCTCTCTCTCTCTCTCTCTCTCTCTCTCTCTCTCTCTCTCTCTCTCTCTCTCTCTCTCTCTCTCTCTCTCTCTCTCTCTCTCTCTCTCTCTCTCTCTCTCTCTCTTTTTTTTATATGGTTGCATTTTTTTTATTCTCTCTCTCTCTCTCTCTCTCTCTCTCTCTCTCTCTCTCTCTCTCTCTCTCTCTCTCTATGTGTGTGTATATATATATATATATATATATATATATCTCTCTCTCTCTCTCTCACCACTTCACTTCATGGATGCCAGCTCTGCTCTCCCACCTTTGTCTTTTTGTTTTGTTCAGTTCCCCTCGATGTGTGCCTTTCATTTCCCAGATAACTGAGGACAACAAGGCTTTGTGGGCGCACACAAAACATGCTCTCAGAAAACATAATGCTTGTTTTGTTGACTTTCTCTACTGGCATTACACAATAGATGGCGCTTTGGTTGAATGTCCTGTCCATTCACAGCCAGGAAGCGAAATTTGACCTCTGTGTATTCAAAACAAACCATGCACTAACTTGTTTGTCAGTCAAGGTGCTCCAAGATCAGAAGAGCTGTCATTTAGGGGGAATTCATGATTTGTTGTGCAGGCCGACGTAAACTGATAAATTAAAACACTGTAAACCTGAGTAGTAATTTGATTTTGTGCTCTTACATGAATGGAAATGTCTGTAATCGGTTCTGTTCTTCCCCCCCAAAAACAAACAAACAAACAAACAAAAATGTAATGCATAATAAGACTGCATAATATTGTTGATCATCAAAACATACAGTAATGCATAATTAATTACAATTAAAACATTTTTGGGGCACATTGCATCAACAGAATGGCTATTGTGCCATTTTTTTTAGCATGCCAGTGTTGGCCACCTGGAGGCAGCGTAAGACAGACAGAGACCAATAATAATAGTCGTTCTTCCCAGAGGATAACGTTTCTATGTATGTATGACTGGGAGCACTGTTAAATTGTCTGTCTACATGTGTTGCTTCACTGTTTCCATTCAATCCATTGCTTAAAGGGTAATAGCACTGCAACACAAATGCTATTGAACATAAACATTCAAGACAGCAGATTGAAAGGCTAAGCTATGTGATTGCTATAAATGCACCAAGTGTAGGTCCCTTTGTCTCACGTTTAATTTTACAGTAAACTTCAACCAAGAGTGGCAATGAACAGCTTTAAGTCTGCCCTCGCAAGTGCCCCCCCCCATCCCCCCCAAAAAAGAGGGTGGCACATGACATGCTGGAAAAACAAAGTCGATGCAGTTTTATCTCAAGGTACCACTGTACTCTGTATATACCCATACCATTCCCACCGATTCTGTCACTTCCCCAGTTGGGGTGGGATCATCTACTTAGCCCTTAAATAATATCAAGTAACATTTGCATCCGTCCATCTACGCAATACAACAACATTTTTCATGTCATTCGCTCACTGCTCTCCCCTACACTGCACCCGCCCACTTTTTTTTTTTTCTGATAAGCAAATAAACTGGTTTATGCGAGAGAAATTGGATTCAATTCAAACTCCGGGTTGATGCCGTCATTGCAAAATGAAATTCGAGCAATTTCAAGATCAATTTCAAGCTTTTCCAATGCTCTACAGAGGCCATAAAATTACAGACAGCGGACCGTATATTTAAGACATATGCTGCACAACACTCCTACCTGATGCACTAAATTGGCTGCTTCCAAGTGTCGTCGGCCTGTTCTTCCCGCCGTTGACAGGTGGAGAGAACATCTGTGAAAATGAATGTGGACTAAATGAAACAGAAATCAACACATACCCTAGACTTACAAGTGTTGCGGTTCAGGAGCACAGCTAAGAATCAGGGATCACAATTGTCAATGTGTGTGGATGAATGAGCTAAAATGCTTCAAGTGCTAACACTTCTGAGAGACGGCCACAGGGTAAAAAAAAATTGCAAAGTGTCTCCTACCGCACTGAAATCCAGGAGGTCGCTCAATTCTTTGTCTGTTCCGAGAGCGGCAATCCGCTGCTGAGGATTCATCCTGGCGAACTTGAGACCTGGAGGGAACACAGACAAACACGTTCCAGTCAAGTCCAATCACTGTTGGGACATTTTGTTAACCTTTTCACACTGTTCATTTTCCATGGACATCTAAGTAGCAGTGGTAGCCAGCCACAAATGATGTTTAGTTACTTTGTGATCGTATACATGCTGTTGTTTATAACGGTCCTACTTTGGAGTAGAAACAATGCAGTTTACCTTCTTTTCAATTTGAAATAATCCCAAACTTTGGGATTATTTTCTGTTTTACACGGACTGTTTCCTCTTAGATTGTGTCATTACACCAATTTATTTCTACACAAATGTGTCTGAGCATTTGCACTACAGTAGTATATTTAGGTATGTAAAAACTATCCCTGCAAAACTTTGAGGATGTTTTTAACGTTTACCTCTTTGTGTCTGTGAATTATACAGTATATTTGTTTTATATATTTAAACTAATTGTCCTAGCCCTATATAAAACCACAATCATATCACAACAAACTATGAAAATATATTATAAATTGATTTCACATTATTAAACACAATAACATGCATGTGAGGGCCAAGTATTATTTTTGTCCGCTTAGAGTCACTTTCGTCATATTTGACTGTAGTAGCTTGCATTAAAAGGTGGGACTTGACCTGTGGAGTGACATGGGCGTTAACGAATCAAAGTTTAGAGTTGGCTGGCTGTTAACTGGCTAACTCATTAGGCTGTTTGTGTGTTGAGTGACACTGCATGAGTTGGGGCCACCTGAAACCCGTGTATGACTGTACTTATTACGTTTTTGTTTTCTTACCATTACCATTTTACCAGTGGCGCCCTTGTGGGGCCACGATGAACTATGTTGTGGTGGCCCCGTTTAAATGGTACCAGCCTGGTATAGTCATGATATAATATACGTTTTCATCCTAATTTAATGTTTAGCATCTAATTTTTTTGACTGTTTGAAGATAATACTTTAATTAGTTTTTTGCATGTAAAAAAGCAAGAATGTGTTGTTGAATTCCTCATATTATTTATAAAATTACGACTAGCCAGGTCGGACCAGCGTCTGTAAGGTACGGTGCCCTGAGACAGTGTCAGGCTGGCCCAGGGCCATCGGGCCACCATTGATGTCGGACCCAGCTCAATAAAGTTACTGAAAGTGCACAAGCAGCTGTGTCTGTCCTTGACCACTTGCATTACACTAGGATCTAACTAGCGATCATAGGCTATATTGAATTAGCTATGTTATCTTGGTTTGGAGATCATAGATGTGCTGTTGTGATACAAATTGCATTTTATCTTCCTTGTTAAGCATGAAATGATCCGAAACTTTGGACACTCCCCGTTTTTAACAGACTCGTCACTCCTGGCTCACCACCATTGCACCAACGTATTTCCACGTTGAGTGGTGCGTGCATGCATAGTAAGATACATCTATGGGTGAAGAAGATTCAAGGCAGAGTTTTTGCATCCACATTTTTTTTTAATCAAATTGAGTTTTGTGATTAATTGTTGCAGCCCTAAAATATCATATACACTCTACAGTATTTTGCCATAAAAATAAATTATGTAAACTTTTTTTTAGCTGCATTGCAGAAAATTATCATTCTTTTGAGTTTTTCTGTGAAAAATGGAGGACAGAATCAGAAAATAAATCCAGCGAAAAGGTTTATCCACATCTTCAGGAATACGCAGAATCCACGAAACATTCCTTTTACTATTTTACTGTTCTGAGATTCTCCCATGACCTATCAAAGATCAACAGGTGCACGTTTTCTGCAATAATGTGAGCAAATGAGGTGGGAACACAGACACTTCTCGGGACTGTTTCAAGCTCCATCTTTAACTCTGTTACCACTGTACCATTAAAAATACAGTACACAAATTTATGGCATGTACAATTTTCCCTGATTTAATACACAATGGTGAATTTGAAAGCCGCTTTGAGTAGATATGGGTCAAATTTTATCTGGAGCCACTTCAATGTAAAAATGCTTTGCAGAACCTGTTCAAAAGACTAACATGTTTGCGTATTTACAGTCACTGCAGGAGAGAGAACTCATCACATTTCTGGGCGGAGGAATGACATCTAAGGTATTTCAATAGCTGTGTTGTGGTGCACAATGAGGCGCATATTCGCCGCGGGTGTAAAATTGAATGTGCAAGAATACTGGTGTGTTATAAGTAATACACGGATATTTAATGCACATTCAAATGCGTTCTAATTAAAGGCAAGACATGCAGCAGCATCAGCATCGCGTCCGTGCATATCCTGTGGTCATCAGACACTGCACGTTGTTACAAAGACACACGGGCTCTAAGTTTAACACACATTGTAGTTCTGCATTTAAGGCTTTTAGAAAGAAGGGCTATGAGGTTACAAGTGACATTGCTAAGTTGCTATCGCTAGCCGCAATTACACCACGACTTCATAAGGATTTGGAGCGAGCTAGCAGACTGTCAATGCGCTTTTTTGTACATTAAGTAGACAGAAAAAACGCGTCCCTCCAGCGAGTGCCACGTAAATTGACAATTGTTCGAATGTACATAAAGAGAATTGGACGAGCGACAACGTGAAATCTCAGCACCAGACCACAAAACGCAATTACAGTCCTTCTCAACTCTCAACTTCTTTCACAGGTCCGAGTCCATTTCGCCCGAGTCTCCCCCTTATACCTTACCTTTTTTTAGAGTAAAATCCAGACTAGGGTGATCTGGTGAAGACTCGCCTTCTCGCGGTATGCCTCTCTACGCGTCAAATATGCCTTTAAACGGCAATTGCAGTTAGAAATATGCTCTATTTGTACCACTTGGAGTTTCCCTTAGGCAGACATTTTTTGCTCTGCGAGTGCCTCAGCACCAAGATGACATCGGGGTTAGTGTATCCTTCCGCCACGCACAGGGACACGGTGCTCCTTCTCAGCGGGAGATGCTGCTCCTTGTAGCGGGCGAGGACGCGCCTCATCTCGGCGTAATCGCTTATGATGAATGGCTTGATCAACGGTGGGTGCATCGGTTTGTGGACGACTCCGACATTGTGAAATCCCATGGTGGGGAGCAACGAAGTCCAAATACTTTCCTCCTGTGCTTACGTGATAGGTGTATGTTCTTTACTTGACTATTTTTCTAACGACCTTTCACTCTTTACTCCATAAATTTGGTAACCATACACGTAGGATGACAGACAGCGTAAAAAAAGATTACATTTCAAATAATACATGCTCAAAATACAGAAATTTAAACCTGCTGTGGAAATAGTTGTTCCAAATTTTAAACTGCAGCAAATATTTTTAATGTTTTCTTTTCTCTTGTTTCCTCCTTGTTCATGACCAACAGAATAAATACTTAATAAGTCAGTTTTTTGTATGAGTTTGTTTGTCTTCTTTGTTATTAAAGATTTTTATTTTATTTTTGTTTCACCTCTTTTGTTTAGCCATGTAGAGGAAGAGACAACTGAGCTATGTGACTCAGGAGAGATGACATCATCAAGCTAATTATCGAGACTGGGTATAGACACTTGTGCGCTTTCCTATTATTCCTCTTTTTTGCCAATGTTTTTAGCTGTAATTAACTGTGTCGCTCAAACCAATGTAACCCTGTTACTTATGTCATCAAAAAAAATCAATTAACATTAAAGGTGTTTATTTATTATATAGCTAAGTTTGTTCTTGTCCAGTTACCATAACTGCTAACAAAACTACATGTACTTACTGCACAACATTGATTTGCAACACCGTTAGTGCTTTTAGCCTAAGACTTAAAATTTAATTACGATTCAAGTCAAATTTAACTGTGTGAGTTGAGGGGTTCGTAGTTTTCGAATGGATGACTCTACGTAGAGAATGGGCAAAAGGAGAGATGGACTTCGTTTGAACCCAGCTTTTATTTTTCAACGTCTAAACGATTTATTCAATAATATGTTTTGTAATAAATGAATTCAGGCAAACGAGTCCTGGAACATGCCTGGGACAAAAACACAAACAGAAAACTGGCATGTAAAATGTATTACGAAAAATGTACGGGTTGATGATAAAGCGGAACGAATCAAATTATTTATATATATATATATAGGGGGGGGGGGAGAGAGAGAGAGAGAGAGAGAAATACCTGTTTTGCTTGAAAACATGAAAAAGGGTCCTTTTTAATTTTGGCACCTAAATTGTCCTCTAATTCTGGAATGACAGCTGTACTTCTGTACATTTCAGAGTCTGTACTTTCTTGCTTGAACATGTACATGAGTTGAATCAGTATTTCTACTTTTACCAGTCTTTTACCAAGTACTTCTACATAAATGGTGGATGAATACTTTTGCTACCTCTCATATCTGTGCTGGTTATGTTATGCCTCGTTTGAATAACAATGGAATGTGCATTTTTTGTAAGAAAGAAAGAAAGAAAGAATGCCATTCCACATTCGAGTTAAGGACACATTACAATACGTGAAAGGTGAACAAAGATGAATGCAAGATGGGCTTTTCTCAAAACTTTTTAACAGAACGCTTGGGAATGATTGATTCAAGGACATGCTTCGAGAAGACGAAGGCATTTTTTTCCTCCAAAGTAGTCATTCTCGCACGTCGCATGGCACGAACTGTTTGGGACTACTTTTTCCTCCGCGCTGACGAGAAACCAGACCAGAGGACTGCAGTGAAGTCAGTTTCATGTTTGCTTTGGCAGAAGGCTTCTCATTTGTACTGATTAGTGCTATTCAGGGGTTGCAAAAATTCACCCCATCTGTAGAAGTATAGATTCTTATGTAAAAAGCACGCTGGGAAAAGTAGAACTTTGGTTGCCTTGACATAGGAGTTTCATTCGTTCAGTGACCACGCTGTAACTCAAGACACTCTAACTTCAAACCATATTTCCCCATTGGAATGAATCGAAATGGCATTCATTTCTTCCAAAACGCACACATGCGCACACAGACACACAAAATGTGTTATGTTTTTATAAGCATTTTATAATATTGTATTTTATGAAAATAAACTGAATTTTTAAAATGAATACTGTACTAGTCAGTGCGGCACAGTGCATGACTGCTTAGCACGTCCGCCTCTCAGTGCAGAGGTGTGGGGTTCGATTCCGGCTCTGGCCTTCCTTCATGGAGTTTGCATGTTCTCTGCGTACTCCGGTTTACTCGCAAATTCAAACAGACGCAAGGCAAGTTGATGGAACGCTGTAAATTGTCCCTAGGTGTGAGTGTGAGCGCGAATGGTTGTTCGTCTCTGCGTGCCATGCAATTGGCTGGCAACCAGTTCAGGGTGTACACCGCCTACTGCCCAAAGACAGCTGGGAAGGGCTCGAGCACGCCTGCGACCCTTATGAAGATAAGCACATTAGAAAATGGATGGATGGATGAAGACTGTACTAGTCAGTCTTCACAGATGATAAAGAACATATGCATGAGTACGTATTGCTATCTCCGTCATTTGTTCAAACTTCCTTTGTTTAAATGGGTAATAACACTGACACTGACGCTATTTACTAGCCCGTCCATGGTGTTTTACATTCTATGTTGACATTGAGATCAACAGACTTTCCTCAAGTAAAGCTATTGGGATGTTTTGAATACACAAGGTGAGCAAAGAACAACCATTTTTCAATTGAGGAAATTATTTGTTCCTCTTTTTATGGTTGAATAATGTGAGGGTTTTTTTTTTTTCAGTAGGGACTCATGTCTGCTTTGTCGTGAGAGCACAGTTGTCCTTGAATGACCCAAGCCAATGAAACCAGGAAACAGTGCAGAAAGGTTGGGTGAGTGATGGATGAGCTCACAGGGACTGCATTGAATTTGGCTTCCACAAAGAATTTAACAGCACTTTTAAGCATTTTATTGCACCATTTATGCTGTTCTCATCCCTCAAACATGCATCACTTGTTTCCAACAAGGTTTAAAAAAAAAACTTGGGGGTTTATTCATTTAACCCCCAAATCGGACATCCCTTTTTTAAACACTATTGGCCTTCTTTGTGAGTTATTCATTTGACACAACTTTTTTTGCATTAAATGATAAAGCCAAAAAGTTTACTTCATCCCTTTTAAAGCCATATTTGGTTATTTTTTACCCAACACGCGTTCAACGTCAGCAGTGTTTATTACCCGCTGAGCAATTCAGTCGCCACCAATTTTCTAGCAAGGTTACATTAAATGTACTTAAATTTCAGTTACACAACTTGCGACCAGCTTCAGCTCTTGAGTCTGCCCAAAGCCAATCTCCAATCCAATTTGCCGAGTCAAAATAATCAACCCCACCTTAACCAAATTTGCTCAAAATCCACAGCAACCCAACTAGTGGGTTAGGAAAGCAACCGAGCATCTTTGGGCGGTGTATGCAGTTTTAAATTCTCACTTGTTTGACAGTGTTAAAATGTTATAAACATTTCCAGGGCTTTTATGACTGTGACAGTTCGAGCCTGGAATGAGTTCATTCATTTTGGGCATTATCTCCGATGGGAAAATGGCTTTGACATGAGAACAACTTGGACATAAACCAATATTGTTTTAGACTTTGGAAGTTCCGCTGTGTAGTAAATGCCAAGAAAGAATCTTTGCAAGGTGTAAAGCCTAGCGATAATACAGGTTTGTAAGCAATCCATCTTGCTTATCGGGTTGCAAGAAAATAAGTGTTCTCAGATATTAAGCAGGAATCAAATGTGTCTAACTACATACAACACATAAAAGAACATGTGGTGACCTTTTAAGCAAACACGATAATTGTCCCTCCGGTCCTTACCAGATGTTTTACTGCGTGGGTTCCATTATGCTTAGAGGAAAGGAGTAATTGTCTCATCTTTGGCACAATTCAGAGCTTAACACACAGAAAGCACACAGTGGCTTGCATCCAGAAATAACACTTAATAATGACTTTAATGTGTGTAGGGACAAATGAAAATGTGGTCTTAAGACTAATTTATATTCTTTGGTTGATGTTTACGTGCACCGATTAAGGAAATAAAACTTAATTTGTTGAGTTGACAGTTTCTAGGAGCTTGATTGTGCAAGAGCACATCAGAAAGTTGAGTGAATCAGATTTGGGGCCCTTCGGTCCCTTGGATGCTTTCTCTGGGGTATTTCTTTTTTGTCGTTTTGTATTCATGAATGAAACAGCCCAACACCACCTGTAAAAATAAAAAAGAAATACAATAAGTACATTCAGTCCAGTAACAAATAGCATCCAAATGTGCTTATTAAACTAACAACTGGTACCTTGATTTACAAATTAAATTTGCTCCATGACCACCCTCATAACTTAAATTGTAATTGAGATGTACACAGACACACTTGTACATGTGTGTGTTATGCCTTTTGCCTTTGAACAGTGTGGCGTCCCTGTAAGTGCCTTGCAGTCCTCTGTCTCTCTCCCCTGCACGGCCCTGGAGGAGGACTTAACTAACCAGTAAGAGCTCAGTTGATGTGACACACACATTCCCTGTCTTGCCAGTCATATTGAGGCCTAATTTAAAGCAAAAGTAATCTTTTTTTCCCCAAACAAAAATTCCAACAATCTATTTAAACGGATATATACTCAATAATGAACTTCACAAAGCTTCACAAATGTTCGGTACACCTCTTTGAATCTTTTGCACAGTGTCCATATCTTCTTTTCAGATTGTGTATGTTTCTTGAATTTCCTCCAAAAATGCACGTTGCACATTCTTGTTTGACTGTGTTCCAGTATATCCTCAGACCAAAAAGGCCTTTTCATTGTGAGTGAATGTCATTCTTCACCCGGGAAAAAAGAAAGTGTAACATTAAATTTAATCTTACATTAAACACGGCTTCCTTGAAATTTCAGTTCGTTTGTTTGAGAATTGTTAGACTATGAAATTGGGTCAAATTTGGGGGGACACCCTGTATTCCTATTAGGCAGAGACAACTGACAAATGTTATTAATAATATAGCATTAAGATTTTCCGAGATTTTTAATGGCAGGACATGTTCATCTTTTAATTGTAACTTATTTTCAAGAAATGTTTGAAATGGCTGTAGGGCCCTGCTGCCTTGAACAGGATTAATAATTCCAGACTGCCACCTGTTGGACAAACTCAAATCAATCAGCCACAAACAAAAGTTTAGCATCGCTTGTCATACTAACCACGGGTGCAGGTTATCTTATTTTTATTATTCAGTCTTTTGTGCACGGTGACGTCTCTGCATTTCGGGGCCAGTACTAGATGGCGCTGTTGAACACTACACAGGTTCAAAATAATTGTGAACAGAATTGCTCTTCTTTATAGATAATAATTTATACATATTTTTGCAAAAAGAATAATATTCAATAAATACCAATTATGTTCCTAAGACAATTTCGTGATCAACAATTCCGAGTTCAGTGGTCGAACTTCTTCAAACACGACTCAAATAGATCATTTTCATGTGACGTAGGCAGATAGTAAATCTGGCTGCGCGCGCATCATGGAGGCGGAAGCCACGCTGAGTGAGTGGCATGGCTTCCTCCAAATCCTCTCGCTGACAGAGCCGTGTAAATAATGCCGTCCTCATGCTGTGCGTTGGGTTGTCAGAATAGAAAGAGCACTTTGTTCCATCTGTCTTCTCACATAGCAGCTGCTACAGCAAGTAGACACTCTAATCCTGCAAGGTACTGTATAACTCTTTTGCCTCCTTGGTATGCGCATCTTAATGACATCACTGTTGTTTGCAAACACTGAAACTCATCTAATGGACCAGCCCATCAGCGCTTGTTTATGTGATGAGCCACTCAAATCATAGCGCGCATGTCCAAAACTGCTCTCAGTAGGCGGCCATGGGGCCACATAAACTGAGCCTATCATCCAATTAAAATAGCAGAATGATATACGCGACGTGACGTAAAGGCGCAAATCAACACACGCTCAGTTTGGGGGATGACAATACTGTACTGTATATACCAGTAGGCTCGGTACGTTTTTATCGGGAGCAAAACTCAAATTTAGCATTTTGCCACTTCAGCAAAAAATAGAAATTAAACATTTGGGGATGCATCAGACGGTGGATATTAACATTGTTCAAACACGAATGGACAAAAAAACGCTCCTTCCACCTGGAATGGTTCAAAAGGAAAACATGGCTAACTGCATGTGTGTGATCAGAAAATCGCTGTTTTGGTTTCTTTGCCTGTTGTTCAGAGGAAAGACTACATGGTCTGCAGTTAGATTCAAAGATTTGAAGAATCTTTCAGAACGTCTAACTAAACATTCATTCATGAAATATTGGACTTTGACAGACGGGTTATTGACAAATTTACCCAGATGAAAGATCTGCATCCTTTTTTTTTTCAAGAAATGAACAACACTCTTTGTGAGTAACATCTTTTTTTTTTTAACAATTCAAAGGTTGTATTCGTAGCCTTACTTTTGCTATGAATAAAATGGATTGCGGTCCTGATTTAGAAAATACTGTTTAGGCTTTGCTGCTTCCTGGATGTATAGTGCCCACTGTGGTGCTCCACTCAACTTTTCGTGCCAGAGACGCCACTGTTCGTATCTAGATGTTGTTGTCAATTAATCACGTTGCTATTCACTCCACGGCATGGTTCGCTTACCTCAGAGTTAAGTGGTCGATGTTAATTAAAAAAATATTATACAGCAATGTCCAAGGACATACTGGGTTCAAAATTCAGCCCAGGAATTTGAGAAAGAGAGGTCCCAATTGCCACCACACCCCTGGCAATGTCACATATATCATTTGAACATTTATTCACAGGGTCTCTAGTTTTCATTCACTTGTGTCTTTTACATGTAATAAAGACTAATTTGTTGACACCGGAAGGGATGGCTGGATGAACCAACTAAAAAATACTGAATGACAGTTGCTGCACATGAGTAGGACAATGTTGGCATAGGACAGTTGTAGCACAAATACATGTTGCGGGGAGGCAAACTTACAAAGTACTACTGTAGTAGGCATTTTGTGCTACTCGTAGGGTCCAGGAGGCCACTAGTATGTGACACATTCCTCATAGTTGGACTAAGTATTGATAGAGTGGGTCACTAGTAAGGTTCAATTACGTACTAGTAGACCAAAAGTGGTACTAGTAATGGGAAAACCCTGTTACTACAGTCTAGTATGCCAAAGTTGTCTTACTAGGGAGGACAAAGAGCGTCGTGGTACAAAAAAAAATGACAGCAATTAAAAGCTCATACGGATTTCCATTTGTGGTTCGAGGGGTTCTTTTTTAGTTCAGGGGGCGCTCGTACATCGGATGTTCCTGACTCAGTTGAAGTGGAAATCGCCATGATTGGTCCAGATCCGCAACGAGTGTTTCCGCCGCGCTTGTCTCAGACTGGGCACCATTTCCACCGCTGGTGTTGTGGGGGGGAAGCGCAGTATTTACAACCCTACGTCCACATCTAACTACCACTGCGACGCTGGTGATTAAGACTTACACGTGGCTAGTAGACAGGTAAGCAAAAAGCTCCCAGAAAAGATCCTCCATGCGATCCAGTTTATCCCAACCTCAATATTTCAGACAATGACAACAAGCTAATGCTAGCAAAAGATTATTGTCCTACGACAAGCAGCAAGAGACGAACCAAGCAACGCAAGATGAATTAATGCACCCAAGTCGCTGAAGTGTCACGAATAAGACGCCCTCCCTTGTTTCAAATGTGGTTGGCCAAAAAAGGTATTGCAAAAAAAACCAAAACACGAACGCGCTAGTAAGTTAGCATTACTTGCTGCAATACAACTGGACGCTAATACTATTTTAAGATGTTGGCCAGTGCACGTTTGTTATCTTTGCTGTATTTTTAACACCCTTAGACAAAATGTGCACTCAAACTGTATTTTAAATTAAGTACATCCCATGCCGTGTGTTGTCTTGAAATACAAAAATGTGTGTTTACATTATCGAGGTATGTCGTTTGTTTTATTTGTAGCAATGTCCCACGTTTGATATCGATACACATGTGCAAGCAACTGCTGGTCTTTTGGTTTATTTTTTGGAGCAATTTGTTTGGAGTGTGAATAGAAATGGGATCAGCATTCGCACAGGTTTTTCCACTTACGTCGTCAATACCGCCGCCATCTTGGATGGAAGCTTTGTGCGAGTATATAACAAGAACGTTAAATTGTTTTACATGACAAAAGTCGAAATATTTCTCACAACTGTTTTTTTTTTGTTGTTGTTTGTTTAATAGATCGTCCTCTTGAACACATGATTAAGCTGTTGTTGGTGGTGTGCAGTCAGTAATTGCACACAATTGTAAAAAGCATAGCAATCAATACCTTCGGGCTGGGTATTAGGAACCTCGTGATTTGATTTAAGTTCAGTTATTTAGGTAGTGATTCTATTTCGATTCTTTAGGTTGTGTTTCGATTCGATGTTGATATAAATATTGTAATGGGATTAAGGAGTCCGATACATCGATTAATCGATATTTTGACTAGGACTGTTTTTAAAAAATATTTTTTTGTTTGTGCTGACTTGACCAGAAAACTATGACAAAAACTTATGTTTGCATTTGCCTAGCCAGACCATTTCATAATGTTTGTTAACAATATGCAGGGTACTACCAGGTGGCATAAAACGATCTGCTGATTTGTTTTGGGTTATGCCTCCTGATATACCTAAAGCTGGCCTTACAACTCATGATTTTCACAGTCTTGGACTAAGAACTGAAAGTCAGAATGGAGGTTTACTAGAGTCACAGCAGGTCATCTCAATGGTTTAGTGTCAAGTGGTAATCTCTGCTGTTTTAGATCAGTCTTTTCCTATTCTTGGCCTCAGAACAATACGACACATATTTGATATAATCAATCGTAGCCATGGGCATTGGGCCATCATTAGATTCTGACGTTATGATAACCGTGAGAAAAAATATTGCAGTATCATAGTCTTAAAATTACTGCTCAAAAAGGGACCTTTTTTAAAGAAAAAACATTTGGGAAGATAAAAACAGCATTGTGATTGAACATAGTCTATTTTATTTTTATTCTAAATATATAATATTTGGTCCAGAAGAAACATTTACCATGTTAAACTAACTAAATAAATGTTTACATTCTTCTGATTTAATTGTTCTTTGTAAGTCACAGTAGCCCATCACTGGTCCGCTGGTACTATATATATCTATTTATTTATCTATTTATTTAGTTGTTCATTTATTTACCAAGCACAATGCACAGAGCAAAAAGGCATCAATGGTTGCCATGTCACTTTTGTCTTGAACCTCCCTCATGGGGAGAGAATTGTATCAAAATTAATCACACAAGTACATCTGCAATTTTCACGTTTTTCAGATCTACAAATACATCCGCGTTGTAAGTTTAAAATAAGTCTAATAAAATTCTTCACAAATATGTTAACCCTACAAACCATTAATTGACAACGTTCAAAAGGGACATTACCTGACAACTCTACCAGGACTTCACTTCAAAACAGGCAAATGTTCTATTTTGTTTTATTCAACTCAAACCTAGGGACAATTTAGAGTGTTCAATCAGCCTGTCATGCATGTTTTGGGAATGTGGGAGGAAACCCGAGTACCCAGAGAAAACCCACGCAGGCCCGGGGAGAACATGCAAATTCTACACAGGGAGACCGGAGCTGAAATTGGTTAGCACTGTGAAGTCGATGCGCTAACCACTGGACCACCCGGCTACCCCAATTTAAAGCATCTATGCAAAAAACAAACTAAAAAAAGCACTTGTTATTTAATGGCGGCACACCGAGCTATTTGTGTAAAAAGGCTATTTATTGGGTCCACAACAGTATAATGCCACTGTTTTTGTTTTCTGAACTGTTTCACCAACATGGACTGTCATTGCATGATTTGCAGTAAACCTGCTCATAAATGTGTCAGCAGTGCCCAATAGCTGTGACAGCAGCTCTGCAGACAAGGGAATCATTTTAGATATCATTAAATTAGGAGGGGCGCCACGGTGGTCGACTGATTAGCACGCTGGCCTCACAGTGCAGAGGTGCAGGGTTTGATTCCGGCTCCGACCTTCCTGTGTGGAGTTTGCATGTTCTCCCGGTTTTCTCTGGGTACTCCCGTTTCCTCCCACATTCCAAAAACATGCATTGCAGGTCAATGGAACGCTCTAAATTGTCCCTGTGTGAGTGTGAGTGCGAATGGTTGTTCGTCTCTGTGTGCCCTGCGATTGGTGGCAACCAATTCAGGGTGTACCCCACCTACTGCCCGAAGACAGCTGGGATAGGCTCCAGCACGCCAGCGACCCTTTTGAGGATAAACAAATTAGAAAATGGATGGATTAAATTAGGACAATAAGACCCAACTTCCCCCCCTAACTTTAACCAATGAGGTCCAAACAATGACATGGCTTGTTTTATTTTTTTTTTTACCTCTAAATCCTTGAAGCGTCATGTTTTTTTTGAAGTGCTAGTACATCCACATACGAGGTTCAAAAACATCCAACCCTTTGATAAATCACTGCTTTTGCAACAAAGAAATGGACATTGGGTGTCTTTGGCAATTTTCATTGCAAATCATTCTTGATTGCTTTCCACTGGCTCCTTTCCTTTCATATGGAAAACAGTGATTCTGCTCATGTTATCTGTTTCTTCGTGGCAATTCAAGTCACTAGTTATGTTTTTAGAATTTGGCCTCTCATTAACTTTGCTTTTTCAAACTAACTTTTCTTCTTTCTAAAAGCCATTGTTCGTGTTCGTACTACTCAGCAGCAGCTTGCTATGAACAATGGAAGCCTTCTACTTGGAAATGCTAATTAATGAATTAATCATGAATCCCTACATTCTCGTCAGTTTTTTTGACAGTATTTTTTTCCCCCGATTGTTTATTTCTGTATGGCACTTAGTATTGCATTTTTAATGCGTGGAAAGTGATACACAAAAAAGTTTGATTTTATTTAAAAGTTGATGTATATTTTAGATATATATGGATATAATTTTTTTTGTGTATTGTAGATCCAAAATGTCTGAACTCTTTATGGAATGTGAGGAAGAGGAGCTCGAGCCATGGCAGAAACCAGCGCCACAGCAGGTGTTAATTGAGGATGATGACGATGATGACGAGCCCATATTTGTTGGAGTAGTATGTATGTACACTTTTTATGAGAATTACTCTTTGGGTATATTTTCATTACAGTGATACTATACGTGGAGCTTGGCGCTTTTATTGGCCATGAAGACATTTCTTAATTGTTATCTCAATGTATTTGTCCTAAGCTATTATTTTGGTCGTTGCACCTAATATCAGATGTCCATTTGTGAGGTCTTCTTTAAAAATGTGTCTTCCAGCAAAAAACGAAAAAGAGGTGCCGCCGATCTCTCCACCTCCCTCAAAGACCAATGTGGAGAAGCAAGTAGCCAACTCTGCTCCTGCTCCTGCTCCTGCATCGACCCTAGCCTCCTCTCCTATAATGTTACCTTTGAAAATAGCTGGAAATGCCATCAGCACTTCTTCAGCCGGTTTCACAACACTGACTCCGCAGCCTGTTATTGTCAATGATCAGGTATTGTACTTTAAACCATTTAATATATTTTTTTCCCTCCATGTGCCTTGAGTAAGTAATATTCTACATATTGATCTGTTTTAATCCAAGGGCTTAATCGTAACCCAACAGTTAACCAGCAACAACAACCTCATTGCCACTCTTGGGAATCAGTATCCTCCTGGGACCAAATTTACCCTTGTAACAGGTAAAGTTCAGTCGCTTATGTCATTGGAAGCACGCCCCGCTCAACTGTCATGTGCCGTCTATCGTATTGCTCATGTTTCCACATAAGTACATTTTTCACTGTGACAAAAATTTGCTTCATGCCTCCAGTGACTGGAACATATCGAACTGTTGTCATGGGTCTTTCTCGCGCCGCAATGACGCACGCACATGGTCAACAATTATATTCAAACCTGTATAATGTACTGAGCGACAGATTTCTGCATTCACTTTGTTGGTTATTTAAAATACAAATATAGCTGATGTTTGTCTTTAATTGTGGTTTTGAGCGCGCTTTTAAGAGTTGGGATGTTGTGTATTTCAGCCGGTCAGCCGCAGCAGCTCATCCAGCGGTTCGCACCAGTAACCACTGCGGTGCCCGGTGTTGTCCATCGGCCTCATGTGCAGCAGATCCGAAACAATGTTGTGACATTGGCTAATGTGCAGAACCCTACTGTATATACAGCCAAACCCCGTCTGCTACAAGTCAGCCAGGCCACTTCTCTGCAGACCATTGCCTTGCCTGGTCAGGCTAACAGCTTAAACAAAGGTGTGCCCTTGAAAGGCGTCATGCTAATTTGAGCACGTGTTACTCAATATGCTTATTTTGTATACCCCACAGAGACCCTGAAGCGGGTGTTGCCAGCTCAGCAAATAGACACTGCTGCAAAAAGATTCAAAGATGATGTCGGTAAGTTTTTTACCGTTTACAACTTTTATTGCTAAGTACAATTAACTAAAGTGTTTTTTTTTTCCCAGCAATTTGTTGTCAAGGCCTTTTACAGTATACATTTGAATTTAGACCTGTAGTGTAGTACAGCGTTGTGCTGGAACATGCTGGGGAGCACTAATATCTACTACAAGAAATGCAGCATAATAAGAACAAGTAGAAGAGGCAGAGGCCTCCAATTATTGTAAGCTTGGTAATAGTCATTGTCCCCACAGAGCAGAGGGAATGTATGCCTCAGAGTATTGTTGTATATTGTTTGCATGTGTTGCTGCTCTGTGTGCGCCAAAGTAGCAGTTCTATGAAGGTTTATAATTACTGTTGTCGATGCTTATTTCTGTTAACCTGCCATTTTCTTTTCACATTACGTTAGCTTTAAGCTAGTGAACTGCCTCCACCTAACGCAAACGCAATTCAGCTTCAATTGAATAGTACTTTAAAAAAACAACTGCTGTTGTTGTAAAGTGCCGTACACCACAATACAGTAAATGAAACTAGAAATTCAATTAAAACATAAAAAAATTACTTGGTGTCTCTCTATATGGCTATTCTCTGCAATAAACGGGGGTTCGCTGCACAACTATAATGGAACTCACTAGGCGCTGAACTCCACCAAGGATTAACCCTAATTTTGATCTGCACCAAATGCTCTGAACAGGATTTGCAGTACTGGAGGTCTGCGTGGATGTAGTTCAAGTTGCTAATGCCACATTCTCTTCAGGCCACAAATGAGAGTCGAGCATCTTCTGGTTGCAGCAAAGTACAGTGCCGTGAAAAAGTATTTGAAATCAGGAAGGAGCCAAATACTATATAACAGCACTGTAGTAGTGCACTCTATTTTGCTGCGTTTGTTTTAAGACCCAATTAATCGACTCCTCCAGAATAATACCAACATTTCCTCTGCACTTTCATGTTGTCAAGAAGTTGTTCTGTTGTTGTTTTTTTTTTTTTGTAATTAACTTTTGCATTGTCACTCACTCTAGTTATTCCTATGCTTTTTTTGTACCTTTAGATCAAGCAAACGTGACCAAACCATTGGAAAATGGTGACATTAAGAAAAATTGCCCAAACTGTAAAGAAGAATTCCTACAGCAGGAGGCGTTGGATTGTCATATGACTGTATGTTTGTTCGTCAATGTTTCATTTAAATATTTTATTGATGCTTTCTGGATTTTAATGTCTAAATCTATTGTTTCAGAGTTGTCAGGCTAAAGTGGAAGGGAACGCTCTGCTCGCCAATAACATTGTCACGTACAAACGCATCATGCTGGTGTCAGAATTCTACTACGGCAGATTTGAGGGTGATCCTCTCAAGGCGTCTCTGCAGAGAAGCAGCGTCACTTTCAAGTGTCAAAGCTGCTGCAAAGTTCTCAAAAGCAACATCAAGTATGTTCATGCTCAACACGAAATCTTAAAGCGTGCGTTGACAGTCGGTGCGTAAGAAAAAATGGTTTCACATCTCAGTCTGTATCTCCTTTGCTTTACGGGCTGCGGATGAGCATGAAAGCATGTGGCAGTTTAGAATACAAGCATTCAGACAAAGGCGCCGGCCAATACAAAGCACTATGGCTGCGGAATAGATGCACAGACTGCTGCATGAAGCTAGTTATTCTGAAAAAAGAAAACCAAGTCTTTTTCAGGCGATACTGATCAACAGGGCTGCCGAGATGGGCTATGGCTTGGCTAAGGTACACGCTAACCACTCTAACTCCGCTGCTAAGCCTCTCTTACCTCCAAAGCCAGATCCATAACACCCAACATGGGTGATCTAAAATAATATCTAGCACGAAATCGCCGAATTCGGGACGGTTGCATCTATTAATTATGGAAGCCTGGCTACACACTGAGATTCCACACGTTTCAATGTAACTGTATTTGAAGCTAACCGCTGCACAAACAGAAGGCTCATTACCAGATTATGATGTCCAAGGTCCCACTGTAAAAATATTGTTGCCAAGAAAGACACACTGAACATCTTAGATGGATGACTTTAGTAGACTGTTTACCCTTGTGGGCCGAAAGATGAAAAATGAGCACTCGTTTAGGCGGTGTATTCCATTCTTTTGATTAACTGTGGTAGAAATGCTTTTAAAAAAAGCGGCTGTAAGCGAATTTTAATGGGGTGCACATCTGTACCTCAATTGCCCTCTCGCTGTAGTGGTCAAAGGTCACACACATGAGAGATTCTATTAGGGGAGCTGAGGTAGCAGAAAAGCACAGACTGATGAATGGGTCTCGGTTCATTGGGCATTCGTGGTACATAGCCATGGATGCGTTTATTGCCACTGCATCATTAGACAAAACAAAATTTACTGTAATTAAAAGGAAGGTCCATTATAATCCAGCATATAAAGTGAGGCGAACGGAGAGGACTTAATTTATCCTTTGTACAGCCGTGGGACCCGCACCTTACTAATTACATAGAGATACCATTGGTCAACCCCCCCAAAGAAGTTGCAACTTTTTATATAAGGAAAATATAGCGCTCAAAGATATTGTTAGCTGTCGGATTTAACCATCTATCCCAGCCCCTTCTATGAACATTGCTTACAGCTGTCAGCACGGAAAAAAGACTTGATTCTTTCGCAATTTCTTGGAGGGTCAAACAGTTCCATCATTCGTGAGCGTGAATGTGACAAGTGTGTCTCTCCTTCTGTTCCAGGTTCATGAACCACATGAAGCACCACCTGGAGCTGGAGAAGCAGAACAATGAGTCCTGGGAGAGCCACATAACTTGCCAGCATTGCTACCGCCAGTACACAACTCCATTCCATCTGCAGTGCCACATCGAGAGCGCGCACAGCCCGATCGAATCTTCCAGTATGTCACATGAAGACCTGATCAGTTCACGTTCCAGTTCTGTGCATCGCCTTGAGTGTCCCTTTATTCTTTTTATTCCCTTCTTTTTAGCGAATTGCAAGATATGTGAGCTCGCCTTTGAGTCTGAGCAAGTGCTTCTGGAGCATATGAAAGACAACCACAAGCCCGGGGAGATGCCCTACGTCTGTCAAGTCCGTTGCCTCGAAATGTTTCAAACCATATGCAAATCGTGATACAGATTAACTCATGGCTGTCTCCTCCACACAGGTGTGCAATTACAGATCTTCCTTTTTCTCGGACGTGGAGACACATTTCCGAAGTGCCCATGTAAACACAAAAGACCTGCTGTGCCCTTTTTGTCTCAGAATTCTGAGAAATGGTCAGTGTTACATGCATCATTTCATGAAACATCAGGTAAGATGCTGCCTTCCAATGATCCTCTCAAATAAAGCAACGAGATATTTTAGAACGTGGCGTACTACAATAGTTGAGGGTAGCGTTTCCTCAACTTTTCCGAAGGCACGTATTATTCATTAATATGCGTGTAGTCCTACTCGCTTAATGCTGCGGTGAGACGAGCGCGAGCTAAGCTGTCAACTTACATTTAGCTTTCAAAAAATTTTATTCCACAAAGTGCGCAACCACCTGTTTGCTTTCCACCGTAACCAACACAAGTTCTCCCGAGCAAACTGCGCATGCCCACACCTCTGTCCATTTGACAATAGGGGGCTGTCATACAGTGAAATCATGAACTACAGTATTTCAAAACGAAACGCAAAGTGTTTCTGGCGGCACTTTCCCATGCATGAGGTAAACTTCACAGTAGGCTTCCAATAGCCGCCAGGACAGAGCAAAGAAGTTTGGCTAATGCTGACTTGTTTATAGCTGTTGATTTGTCAAACAAAGATAGCATTTTCCATTAGCCAACCCCCCCGGTCAGTCAAAGGATCCCCTCCTCTTCCCGTGTAAGTGAACAAAAGCAAGTAAAATACACCTACGCGGTGCTGCCCAATACCTCGTGTCTGATCTGAACCTTACGTAGTCGCGTTAAATGTATCAATTAAATATATGGTACAATTAGAAGAAACTATTTTGACATACATTGCTCACAAAGATAATGTGCCTTATAACCCGGTGCGCTTCATGAATGAAAAGGTTTTACAACAGACCCGTTCATTGTTATTGCGCGTAATAATACGGTGCGCTTAATGGTCCCAAAAACACTGCATTATTTGTGGTAAATAATAATACATTTTTGAATTAATGAAATGAACGTAACAGAGTGAATTGCTGTCTCTCCTGGCACACTAACCGATGAGCTACAACGCAGTTGCACCAGGGTTTCTTTTAACCGAAGTGTGAAAACAGACGAAGTGTATTTCGTAAACGTTTGAGAAAAAAAATATGCAAACAGAGAACTTCATAAACGAGCTGGAAGCAAATTCTCCATGAAAACACTTTCCCAGACATTTTGTGTTTTCATTCAAAATACTACCGATATACTGTATACAGTAATTTGATAAGACTGTTTGGAAGAAAGTTGACTAAGACCGATTCAATGTTTTACATCGTTTGCAATCTGTTTTGTGTTTCAGAAAAAAGGCATCCATCGCTGCGGAAAATGTCGACTGAATTTCCTCACCTACAAAGATAGAATCGACCACAGGGCTCAAGTCCACAAGACTTTTAGAAAGCCTTCAGTACTGGAGGGCCTGCCCGCGGGGACAAAGGTGTGATTCATCTCATCGACATCATCCCTAATCTGGTGAAGTATCTTCATGATATTAATATTCTCTTTTACTTCCGCACCGCAGGTGACTATTCGAGCCTCTCTCAGTGCCAAGACGGTCGCCATGTCGAGTTCAGTGGATCGATCCGCTGTCGTTTTAACTCCTGAAACGCTAAGCAACAGTGCAAAAATCAAACCTGGTGGTTTGGCCAAATCCAAACGTAACACCTCCGAAGCAGTCAAGCCCAAGACAGTTCTGAAGAATAAAGGGAATTCTGCTACCAATTGCAACCTGTCACTCAAAAGCATGAGGTTTGTTACCTGATATCTTTGCTTCGCCAAAATTCCGTCTGGAAACATTCAGTCTACCAGAGGCCGTTTTTCAGGATTCACTATTATGGAGCTTCCGAGGATTCATGCCAGACCAGGAGCAAGCTTAATAGACATTATTGGAGCACTGAGATATGCAAAGAAGCTCATTTTGGGTGTAATTATTTTTTTCCAGACACCCATTAGACTGGTTAAAAATACGACAGTTAAGTTTGTAAACAAGTGTGATTCGGAGTAATTGAGCTCAGTCATCAAAAATGGCTGCTGGATTCAGTCATGCAACACAGGTTCTTATAGATTGGTAGAAGGAATGGTGGGATCGGACAGGCGAGTCAATATTTCTTTGACCGTGTGCTCGTTTCCAAATTTCAGTGTGAATGGAGGTTGCTATACCTGCATTGAGTGCAACACCAAAATCGATGACTTCTCTTCCCACTTCTTGCTCTCATCGGATTGTGGCGCCTGCAATTATCGGACAAGTTGCAAAGTTGCCATTGGAAATCACATGATCAGGTATTTTTTTCAATCCTGAGTTTAGGCAGCTGGTTTCAGTGTGCATCTTCATAAGTGGTGGTCGTGATGTTTTTTGTTTTTGCCCTTTGTTCAGATTTCACAGCACAGTCAGCAAGAGCAGGTTTTCCAAAGTGGATCAGAGGAAACACTCATCTGCAGTGAAGTAGGTTTTCTAATTTGGGTTGATTGCTATCTTATTTACGAAGTCACGACAGTGGATGTTTATACTCAACAGGATTTTTGAACCAAATATTAGCAGCAAAGTCACTGTTCTGCTCAAAATGTTTCTGTTTTGTTTTGTTCTTCTTTGTTCTACTTTTGCTTACGAAAGAATGTAACAAAAATAATCAAATAAAATAGAAACAATTTTATGTTCTGCTATACTGTCCCAAAACAACATATCCTCTGTGCCTGAAACAGTCAGTCAAAATGCTCTAAAACGGTTGGCAATATGTGTTTCACATCTGATAAATGGCTGCTTTTCCTGTAGATTAACGCTGGTGTGTCTCAACTGTGACCTCCTGGTGGATGCGTCAGGCGGAGACGTGATGAGCAAACATTTAAATGACAGAACAAATCACATATGCAAAGTCATTGAGGAGAAAGGTATGAGATTTGAAGCCTGTAACATCACCTTGTGTGTTGTGTCACTTCTCTTTAAAGCCATCTTCTGTTTTGAACCCATCAGGTGTCAAAGCCGAAACTGGAGTGTGAGTACAAAACGCGACGTACATATTAGACAGCATTACCGCCACAAACACAAAAACATTACAGAGATAATACCCCCACGAATGGGAATTCACTTTTTGAACCATCTCATGACAACACGTAAATTAATTTGTGAACTTGTCTTCTGAATCAAGCCAGGACTACAGTGAGACTGTCCGAATGAAAAGGAAGGAAATACTCCCCAAGCTGAAGGAGGCTCGAGAAACGGGTGATATTGCCTGCCAGAGACACGACAAACCGATGATCGTCAATCAAACTGCACACCAAAACAACGCAGAAACATCTGATCACTCCTCAAAGGTATGCTCGATGTAATGCATTCGCTATGGAGTCATGTTGCGACACATACACAAACATGTTTGGTCTGAGGAGCAAGTGTCATGAGTTCTGTAATCTATTCTAATCCAACAACATTCTGAGCTGTATCAGAAACTCGCCGGGATTTAGCTTTTAATGGCTCAGAAGCGACAGGGACAAGTATGGGGGGGAATAATCATCTACATTCTTGGGCTAAGCAATTTAATCGGACTTTCATTTTTGGCTTCTCGTGATTTTAAGAATATTATAATGGAAGAATAGCAATTACCATCCCGAAAAATAAATGTTGGTTACAGCCCTACTCTCCTCATTTGTCGCCTCCAAACTCAAGCAAACATTGTCATTGTTTTATTGATATTGACACTAAACTCTGGATGTTTGTTTTTTACACAGTCACTCACAGTTTTGAAGTCATCACCAACGGAAACGACCTTTGAACCGGTGCAAATCGAGAAGATGGAACACTTACCTCACACCAAGGTTGAACAACTTCAACCTTTGGCCGTATTGCCTGCAGCTCCCGAAGATTCTGTCGGAGAAAGCGCGATGCAATCTGTCTCCTCAGCTGTTGAAGATTCTCCGAGTGAAAACGTGATGCAATCTGTCTCCTCAGCCGTTGAAGATTCTCAGAGTGAAAACGTGATGCAGGCCGACTCCTCCTCTTGCGCGTTGGATGGCGTTGAAGATGTTGAGCCAATTGGAGACTTGAATATCATGGAAAACTGTCAACCTGATCAAATCTCTGATTGAGCAGCAAACGGCGGGACCAACAGAGCCAATACCAACAAACTCTTTTTATACTTCTAAAACCATTCAAGTGTTCCCCATAGAAGAATGGCAGAATTTGTCATTCATCCAACCATGAATCAGTCAAGATGTCCCGCCAAAGGCACATTGTAGATACGTCATGATAGTGGATGCTGTTAAACACTTATCGGTACATTTAGAAAACATCATTGGGATCCCACTGGTGAGCCGCGCAATGCGTTTGAACCTTCGGCATCCGTCTGGCACACTTTATTTTTTATTTTTTGTGCAGAACCATTTTATTGAATATGTTAACATGACTTTCACACAGTTCTTTAGTTGTCGTGTACCAAGATGGGCCGTTGGTTTTATTTTGATGGCATTTGACCTGAAATGCCTTCATAGAAGTGTCTTTAAATGGGCCGCAAGAGGGCATGATATTCAATACTGCACGTGATGCAGGATCATCCATTACCCTACTGACGCTCGAAACATTGGCACCATGGTTTTAGGTTTTGTCCCGAAACCAAAGATTTTACGCTGATGTAGAAAATGTCCATTGGTTGTGGTTCTTTTCCACATTCCAATCCTGACTTCAAAACACAAATCTAAAGTTGAAATATTTATTAAAAAAAAAATGTTTACTTAAGACGTGTATGTTAAGGAACAATCCTGGTGCACAAATGTCTCATAAAATTGGTTTACAATTTATAGTATTGTTTTCTTCCTTTGTTTTATGTCATGTGGAATAGTCTTCTCTAGATCATGTGATCAAGGCGGTTATTTCTACTTCTGATATCTGCTATACTGTACATTCATTTCCAGGTTACAGTATTTGTTTAAAAAATAAATAAATGGCGTTAATAGCCTGCTGGTGATCTTCACTGGACTTCTGGAATGTAATTGAAGTATTTAGTCATACATAACCCTTTTGTCGTGTTTTGAGTTGGACCACAACAGAGTGGATATAGTCTAGACACCCCTGTTCAAATGTCAGTTTTTGTGATGTACAAAATCTGACTCAGATAAATCATTTCAAAATTATGGTCACTTTTAATGTGCCCCATAACCCATAGTTGACAAATGTCTTAAAGAGGAAAAAAATTCCATTTGCCCATCAATTTACTGAGCGGCTTGGGTCTCGGGAGTGCAAATTTGGACCTCCCCACCCTTTATTCAGCTCTTCTACGGGGAATCCAGAGTTGTTCCCAGGCCAGCTTTTAGACTTATCCTTACCAGATGTCCTGACCAATCATCTGGCTCCTCCCAACATGAAGGAGCAGCAGCCCTGCTGTGCACCATTCTGGCTTCATTATTAAGGCCGTCTAGCACCGTTACCAATACTGTTTTTTTCTGTCTGCCTTCCAGTGCTGTATATCTATAACATTTCTGCACTCTAGGACAACTCTGGGATACAAGGAGGGTAACTACATGTTGTCCTGTGAGGCAAAACTATTTGGGGTTACCCGTAGCCTGGTAGGGATCAAAAGGTGACTCGTGCGTGTGTTGGTCATCCTCGCAGTAGTCTTACTCGTGAGGACAACCAGCGTACTAGAACAAGGACTTTGAACTGGATATCTAATGTTCCATTGAACCTTACTAAATGAGCCACGAGTATAATGAATTTCAGCTTCATCATAAGTGGAAATCTAAACAAGCTTTTAATAAAAAATATTTTAATATACCTTAACACGTGTAGGTATTTTGAAACCTTTGTTGAATGAAGTGTCATCTGAAAAGTGGATGTTTCAAGAGTTCCGGGTCGTGACGTAACTGCCACCGACCTTTCTTATTGGCTGAGTACTGGACGCGGTTCCCAGGGAGACGAATCCACAAACATTTGCCGAAACGTCGTCGAAACGCTTCAAACGACTTGAAAGCTTTACTCTGACACGGTACTGGGAAAAGAAAGGCAAAATATTATCAATCACTGTTGAAGCTGGGTTTTCCCATTAAAGTGTTTTGTTGTGTGTTTTTTTTTTGTGCGTTTATTTTAGAACTCGAAGCCAAGGCGTCACGTGCCAAGTCGGTTGAATTTAACACGACGTAAAAGACGACAAAGATGGTAAACCTTGCGTGGAAATTCATAATCGCCAATTGTGTTTGTGTGTGTGTGTACGTGTGCGTGCGCGCATATTGTGAAACGAGCGCAGTATTTATTCGATATTCACTTAATAGTTCATGTACTATCACTTGTATACTACCTCCATAACTACCATATTAGACAACTTTACGGTAGTTACATCTTGAATAAATGCTCAAATGACAACCAACCATTTGAGAAGAATTTCTCTGCACTTAAAGGCCCACATACTAGTACGCTTTTTTCCTCACTTCGAGTTGGACGACCACATGTTTCTTGTGAGCCATACCTATGCACTGGTTGGCAACTATGTGCTACTCGTACTATTGACATTACAAAATTCTACTAGTTAACATCTCCTGCCTCAGTTGCCTCATGCACTTTCCCGCACAACACTGTCCTAGTACGTTGAAGTTGGTCTGCTGGTGTGCAGAACTGTCTTACAACCATGGGAAAAAAAAGTTACGAGTAAGACACAGTCATTATATTAGTGTGGCATAGTTATTATACAAGTAAACTGAATTGCAGAGTATTTTTTTTCAACACTATTAGTAACAACAAGGACCAACTTGCAAGTGTGTGTCCTGCACTTGTAGTTTCCTGGATAAGACTAGTTGCACCTAAATGCCCAGTTGTAGTTTTGCCTCACTTGTAGGATGTAGTTGTCCTACTGGTATGCCAAAGCTGACCTCCTAGTGTGCAAAAATGGCATACAGTAGTGGAAGGCCATAATGGAAAAATATTGCCAGTCAGATAATAGTGCTCAGCTAGTATGATGGATTGTCTTACAATTAACATTTTTTTCCACTTCTAGAATCAGAATCATATAATACTAGTGCTACATTTGACCTTCAGTGTGCATTTAACCTACCTATCGTCAACCCCTGCGCATGTCTCAAGGCACTTTGTAGCCTCCTGTACCCTACTAGTAGAACCAAAAGGCCCACTACTTATGTTCCTTGACAAGTAACCTGTGAAGTGTGCTGATTTTTTTTTTTTACTTGTGAGGACAAAAAGCATATTAGTAAGTGGACCATAAAATGTGTCAACTAAATGCTCAAACAGCTTTCCATAAGTGTGTGCATTGTCTTTCCTGCTGATTCAAGAGTCGTAACCTGAGTCGCAGTCAGCAGTACCGGCTGGTGGAGCAGCGACGCGCCCACGAGGAGCATAAGCAGCTGGAGGCCCAGCGAGTGGACCGAGACCGGAAAATGGTGGCCGCCATGAAGGAAGAGGACAGTGTGGACAGAAAAAGGTTCTTAAGACAGGTGCAGGAGGAACAGAAAGAAAGAGAGATCGAGAACGCCATGATAAAGGTGTGTTTTCTCGCCGCTGAATCGACCTTTCCAACTGTTCTGTCTGTCTGTAAAGTGAATTTTTGTTTCCAAGTCCATTAAACATGTTTTGACTGGTTGCGGAAAACCTGCAGACTTAGAACAACGTCGTTTCAATTGTGGAGATATAGCATCCACCTGTTTGTCACCATTTCATTTTTTTTTTGTGGGGGATGAGATTAAAACGATGTCGAGTGACGCACTTGGCCACGAGTCACCCCTCCCTCACTTTGTGAGTGCTTTCGTTTGTCAGTGATTATCCGGTACAATTGTAATTTTCATTTAGTTAACTAGCCATACGTACACGCCAAAAAAATATATTTCCTGTGTATAGTCCATTGGCGTGGTTGCTTCAGAGTGCCTCATTAATGGCTATGTGTATGCCCACATCATCCAGAGAAAGGTGAAAAAGCCAAGATTAGGAAAACCTCTTTCCTTCAAATCATCTGTTGACATTGCCACCTAAGAGTGCCTCATTGCTGGCCATGAGTGTGTGCACGTCACAGAGAGGTGGGGAAAAACCCCCAAAATATTTTGACATGACAAGACGCTTGTGGACATTGGCTTCACCCCGGAAGGGACGGTTTTGAGGTCCTTATCATTTATGAATGTGCGCCCCTCACTTTGAGAAAGGCCGAAAAGCTCCAAGACGAGAAAAGGCAGGGAAGGGGGTGTCCGACTTGACTGCCGACAAGTTGTTGGGGGTCTTTGCACTGGCGTAGCTGCTTTCAAGTCCCTTACCAGCCTTGAGTCTGGACACATCCCAGGGAGAAAGGCAGAAGTACTAGGAGGTTAAAAAAAAGAAGCCTGACCTGACAGCCAGTGTGGACAGATCAGAGTGCCTCGTTGTTGCAGCACGGAAAAGCCCTGCAATGACCCAATGTGATCTATTTTAGCCATTTTCATGGCTCGCAAGTGTTATTATGTGTAGGCCAGATGAAATGGGGATCAATTTTTCTAGTATACTGTATATTTGATTGACAGTTGATAGTTGAGCAGGTTGTGGTTTCAGCAACTGAGAGATTGACAGTTGATAGTTGAGCAGGTTGTGGTTTCAGCAACTGAGAGCGGAGAGAAAGGCCTGATTCGTCCGAATTTTGAAGCCTCACTGCTGTTGATTTTTAAAAAATGATTTAAATTGGTGCAGGCAGCGTGGGTTCAGATCCTACTCAGTAAGGGCGTGAATGCCAATGGTTGAGTGTCTTATGCGGTATAAGTACTGAAAGTCGCCTCATATGTGCGTGATATGTGATTGCTTCTCACTGCCACTCCCTAACTCACTCGCAGGCCCATACTGAGAAACTGTTGAGAGAGAAGCAGCTTGTCCAAGAGGAGAAGCTGGCTAAAGAGCTGGCCCGCATCAACCATGACAGGCAACGAGAAGGCAAGATCAGGCAGTATATTAGAGAGAACAGGTACTGCACACGCTCATCGTACAATTACACTACTTAAAAAAAGTCAGCCATAAGAAGCTACGGTCATCATCGGATCGAAACAAATACTTACTAATACAAATGCAGGTTTCTTTTTTCGTTCAATCTTTCTAGCAAATGTCTATGTCTCCAATTGATTTCATAATTTCCTCAGAGCAGGGATAGGCAACTTAAATGCCGGCGGGTGCCACAATTTGCCTACTAAGCTTCTGTATTTTCATGTTGGTCATTATAGTGGTACTTGGAGAGCCAATTTTTTTTTGGGGGGGGGTGATTTGTGTGAAATGTTTGAGATAATTACGAGTGGGGCAAACCTCGCTGGGAAACCTGTGGTTGAAGTTGGATGACGATGTGCACTTTGGAACACAACGTTCTTCTGATTGTTTGTGTTGCTTGTCGAGTGAGAAGATTTTTTTTTTTTAAGACTCTTACTCGGCTGTTTGATCTTTTACATTTTTTGGGAGACATTTACTCGGCCCTTTTCCACAAGATTGTGAAAGAAACACGGCCGGCGTATCCGCCAAACCAGAACAGGATATGAAGATCCCTTTCTCATTGAACCAGGAAATGTATTGGTCCCTTCATGGATCGAACACCAGTTTGGAAATTTTTCAGTTCAACTCCTTGTTATAAAACAGCAAGTTCATTGAAACATTCAGAAGGTTCGAGACACTCAAGTTTAAATGAATCTTGAAATTCTACTCAAAAGTTGAATATCCATCTCTTTTTGAGACTAGTATGTTTTCTTTCCTCTTTGTCGCTCATTTTGAAATGTTGTTTCTTCAAACAACTTCCCTCAGCATTGAGCTTCGAGAATTAGAGTCCAAGTTGAAATTGGCCTACGTGAGCAAGGAGCAAGTGGCGCAGATGGCAGAGCACGAAGCTATCAAGTGTGAGACAATGGTGACCTCCTCATACGCGCTTTTTACCTTCAAAACGTTGCCTCTTGAATGGTATCTTCCCCTTTCCCCCCAAAAAAACGAATGGGCCGTGGTGATCCCCTGTACTGTCCCTCTCTCCTCTTTGGCGCCAGCGTGAAGAGGCGGAGCTCTACAACAAGATGAAGAGCAACTTTGACCAGGCCACCATGGAAGAGGAGAAGCTGGAGCAGAGGAAACAAGAGGAACAGCTCCAGTACCAGCACGATCTCAACCTGCAGCTCGTCGAGCGAGAGCACAAGAGACAAGTGGCCTACGACGACTTTCTCAAGGAGAAGCTCATGGTGGATGACATCGTGCGCAAGATTTACGAAGAGGATCAGATGTGAGTCTTGATGGTCACGTTTTACACTTCATCGGACACGGTTCACGCTTCTCTCTCGTAATTGCAATTTTCGTTGCGGGTGGTCGCGCTACGGGGGGAAAGTTATCCGTATGCCAATCTCCCTTGGTGGTAATGATCGTCCCGTTTAACTCAGCGGAATTCACATGATCGCATTGTAGCGTCAAACAGCTCCAACAAGTTGGTCTTGTGTTGAAGGGAGCGACAGAAGAAGCTGGAGAGGGTGCGCGCCACCCAGAAGCACATCGAGGACTTCCAGACGCAGCAGGCCGAGTGGCGGCGTTTGGAGAACGAGAGGATGGAGGAGGAGAACAGACGCATCAGGGAGTTCGCGAGCAGGCAGCAGAAGTCGCAGCAGGACAGGATGGCCAAGATCAGAGCACGAGAAGAAGCAATACAGAACCTCAGGGATACGGTTGATAGGACTTCAAGATATTTTTTTTCGGGGGGGAAACGTGTCAAGGTGGCACTCAGCAAACCGCGTCTGCTTTTATCCAGCTCGCGGAGAAAATGGCTGAAGAGAGGCGACAGCGTGACGACATGGAGAGAATGCGCCAGGAGCTTTGTCTCGAGGAACAAGAAGAAGCATTTAGGAAGAAAGACATTGTAAGAATATGTTCTTTCTTGTCCAGCAGCCACTGTGTTATTCGCCGCAGTTTTGAATATTTTAAGCAATGATATTTCGCATCACCGCTTGAGGGGACTGTCCCATTAAACCGGCAAACTTTCAGCACAAGACCTGACGTCAAAATGTGTCCCCGCCTTCCAGGAAGACATGGAGAGGAACATCAGACAGAGGCTGATGTTGCAGCGGACCTGCCAGGAGCAGATGGCCATGAAGGAGATGCGTCGGCAGGCGGAGAGAGACGAAGAGGAGGCCTTCCGGAAAATGACCATGGACAAGTTTGCGGAGGACGACCGCATCGAGCAGATGAACGCCCAAAGGCGCCGCATGAAGATGATGGAGCACAAACGCGAGGTGGAGAAGCTGATCGACGACAGACGACGGCAGCACCAGGCTGACATGGTACTGACAAAATCTATGACTATTTTAAAATAAGTCTGTGAACGTGACTTCAAGTTAAGACAATATCATTGTCATTGTTCGGCTTCTGTGCTTGTTTTTTTTTTTCCAGTGTGGACAAAGAGCATATTAGTGCAGACATTAAAATGGATGTCAGGAATCATTTTTAAATGCTCAAATGACTTTCCAAATGTCACTAACTTCTGCGTCAATGTCAATGAGACAAATTAATTTTTTTTTTCTCTGACTCTGTGCCTTTGCTTTTTTTTTCTCCCTTGTAGGATATGAAGGCAAGAGAAGAGGCAATGGAGCAAGAGCGAGAGGCGCTGTGCAGACAGATTATCGAAGAGGAGAGACTACAGCTTCTCCAACGACACGCAACAAAACTTCTCGGACACATGCCAAAGGTAACTCACTGGTCTGACTTACACTGCACTGATTCCCAACTACTGTGTCGCGACACATTGGTGTGTGTCGAGAGATCATCGGGTGTGCCGCTGTAAATCATTCAATTTCAATTACCGTATTTTCCACATACAAGGCGCACTTAAAAGGATTCAATTTGATCAAAAACCCACAGTGCACTTTATAATCCGATGCGCCTTATACAGTATATGGATCAATATTCTGATTTCTTGGAACGCAGTATTTTAAATGTTCTGTAAAGTGCTTTGTAACAGCTGCAGAGGGTCTATGCAAATAAAGCTGTATTGTATTGTATTCTCTTTAGCGTAACTCCATCTAGTGGATACATAACGCAACCGCAGCCACTATTGTAGCTTCTATTCTATGCGCCTTATAATGTGGTATCTGAAATCAGTTATAACATAGGCGATTCATTGAAGGTGCACCTTATCCTCCGAAACACCTGAAAATACAGTACTTGGACCAAAAATGTATTTATTCCAAATATTGTGAACCCATTCCAGAGCCACTTGTGATGGGGGAAATTTCATGATATAGAGACAGTATAAAAACTTTTTGGGCATTGCTTTACATCTGAATCGATGTTAGCTTTTCCATTTTAAAAGATGCAGTCCTAATCATTAGTTTGAATAAAGTTATATTGAAGGTAATACTCGCCCCCCATCCCCCAGATTTTGTGTCATCCCATGTAGACCACAGTGCCCTTATTTTGCATTTGCCAATACTGCCTAATGAACAAGATAGCTCTGTTTACTATTATTTTACACACACATCTCATCTTGGAAAGCAAGTTCTGTACATGATGTCACTTGGTCTCTTTTCAGGGCTTACTTCGTGAAGATGACCTGAAGCACTTTGATGAAGACTTCAGGAAAAACTTCCAGACACGTCCAGCAGAGAACTCTGAAAATCACGGTGGAGGTGGAGATGGAGATGATTGATTCATTTTTAAGTCTTTTTTGGGTGCCATTTTTAAAGGGGAAGTCAACCCCAAAACTTTGTTTACAATAATAAGTTCCATGCAGCCCTACTCGTCTAAACACGGCATGCCGAATAATAATGTGTTTGTGGAATATGTTTTAAGCACCAAAATCCACCTGTTTTTGTCCATCTCAGGGGACATCCATTTCCCCACTTGCTGTCAACTGAAAATGATATCACAGCCATGATTGGTCGTAACCTGAGCCCTGGGTAACTTGAATGTCAATTTCCCCCGAAATGACTAAAAATGGGTAGAGTTTGCCGCTCAACTCAGATTTCACATGTGCAAAATTAATCAGAATGCCGTGTTTAGAGGAGTTGAGGCACATAGGACATTGTAAAGAAATTGTTTGGGTTGACTTCCCCTTTCCCTTAAGGACCACTGCAAACAATCCTTGTGACTGAATGTGATCATTATTTCATGGCCAATCTCCAGTAAACGGTCATACACACACACACACACACACACATGCATCACGGTTGACATTTAACACAGGAGGTGCTGATGACAAGGTCAAAATATTACAAACAGCTCCTGACATTGACTAGCATGGTGTTGAATTGGTAACTTTCAGTGTCAAATGCGAATGTCATTGTTTAATGGTGGTATATTTATTATTTTTTAAATACCATTCTTGTATTGGATCTTAGCAGGATGTGTGAGAGTAGAACAATGTTGTGGTTTGTTCGTATTTATGTCAAAGATGAGTATTTTTCTAGACGCAAAGCAACAGTTGTACTGTAAGTAAAATGATAAAATTGGTCTCCTACTTCGACTAATGTGGCCCCTGATCATATGCGAGATACCAGTCGCGAAGGTTGGCACATTTCAATGCTGTTGACCCCTCTGGCAGTTTACTCGTCCTAACCATTTGGCTTTCTCATCCAATCACAAGTCGAGACTGAGGCTATACATTCACTGCCTCACATTCGGAAATTACACAATTCTTAGCACAACGCAAACGCTGTTCACTGTTTGGTCAAAATATACATACTCAAGTTAGTTGTTTAAAACTACAGAAAAACAGACAAATATACCTTGATGTGAAGTCCTTTTTTTTATTAGGTACCATTTAATGTGTGTAGAGAAAGGACATCAAATACATTTACAAAATCCAGTCTGACTGTACAGAGACAGTTTTATGGTTCAAACTATGTTTTGCCCCAGTCGAGGGCCTTCATGAACTCGTCCTCCGTGAAAGACAGCAGCTTGGCAGCTTCAAGATGCATCTGCACAGAAAGACATTTGAACATGACCACAAACGGATTGTTTGCCAGTAAAAGACGAGGAGGGCACCTTTTGTCTTTTGAGAACGTCGATCAACTTGAGCTGCTTCTTCAACCCGACGATGAGCTCCCCTTTCTGCTTTTTTAGCAGTTTGTTTTCTGCCAGTAGATTCTCTCGAGTCTGCTGTTCTTCACTGGATTTGTCCTTGTTTGATGGAAAAGATACAAATGACTACTAGCAACAGCAAAAAAAAAAAAAACAAGTATTTTCGTTCATCCAGAGTCAGTGTTTGAATAATAAGCCCACTTGCCTTGCTCATCTGTTTGGTTTTGGTGAGTTCCGACTTTAAGCGTTCCACCTCATCCAGAGCTCTGGTCAGACGAAGCTCCACAGTGTTGTGCGCAACTGCTCCTTGCTTGCTGGATTTGTTAAGCTTCTCCATTTCCTGCAGGTCACATTGCATCGTCAAATATCCAAGGTGGTCTATCAGGGGTCGGTCAACCACCACGCCATCTGCCACCAGCTGCGTGTTTTTTTTTTGGGGGGGGGGGCTGCTGGGTTGTGTTTTTTTTTTTTTTTGATCAGTTGTCTGCTTTAAGGCAATTTTGCATTGCTGAATCTGAAAATGACTGCGGTTTCTGAGGATTTGAAGGCTGGATAATCCCCACAACGTTCAGACTGTATTTCATTTCTTACATGGAAGGAACCTAAGTCATAAATTTCACCTAAATAAAAGTTTTAAAACTGTTGTCGAAGATTAAATGCAACTGTGCTAAAAAGTTAAATACAACTGAACTGTAATCGGGTAGTGATTCTTTTGTGGCTTATCATATGCTGGATTGTTTTTAGCATGTTTCACAAACACAAGATAGTGGCCCTCTTCTTCCATTTTCCTGTATGAGCCCCTCATCGGAAAAAGTCCGGAGATCTCCCTCGCTTACCTTGTGCAAAGCAGACACTTGCAGCTGAAGGCTGTCGCATTTGACGGCGGCCTCGCTTTCGGAAGCTTTGAGCTTGTCCATCTTTGTCTGCTGGATGTTGACGGTCCTCTGGAGCTTGATCCGATCCTCCTCCAGCTGCTTGACTTTGGTGTTCAGCTTGATGTTTTCATCATCCTGATCCAGCCGCAGTGACAATGAGGATCTCTGTCGCTACCTACTGGTGAAAGGCGGCCAATACATTTTGTTGGACGCAACTGTACCTTATTTTTTCTTTCGCTCAGAAGCTGATCAATTTCCTCTTGCATCATCTTGATATTGGCCATCAGGGCATGAATTTGTGCACATGAAACGCCTGAAAACAAACAAACTAGTCAAATACAGTCAACAGATTCACTTTTGACCTTCAGGGGTTGTTTGCTTTTTCAAGCCACTTTATTTGACAGGTGGAAAAAAAGGGATTAAATGTACAGTAAATTTATACTGCTATATATGACTAATTTTAGACTGTAGCAAAATATCATTTCCTCAGTGTTGTTCCAAGAGCAGATATAATAAAATATTGACCAAAATCTTCACTTTAGTGATTTTGAGATTCCGTGTCATGTATTAGTTATCGCAAGGATGGATGTCAAAAGCCACAAACCAGTCCCTTCATTGTCTCCGTCATTGAACACGTTGTCGTAAGAGACCAAACGGTTCATCCTGTCCTCCACATTTTGTATCGTCTTCGCCACGAAGGACTCGGCCGAATCTCCCGCCGCTCCTAAAGCATCCCCGCAAACACTAAAAGTCGACACAAAACCAACGTTACCGAGGGAACGTAGCCGGCTAACGCATCATGACCTCTCCTGTGGTCATTCCGTCTAATTGAACTCACGCTGGGATCGAATGGGGCTCTTCTGACTTTTGTGACTTTTTGAGCTCCACCTAAGAACGGGTCGTGAAATGCGTTCCTGTTATGCTGTGCATTTACTTTAGAAGAACTGTTAGAGGCACATTTCTGAACTAAATATTCTATGGTGGTATGTAGACAGCAGTTTGAGTGCATATTAGCTACCGTATTTTCCACACTAAAAGGCGCACTGGATTATGAGGCGCACCTTCAATGAATGGCCTATTTTGTAATTTGTTTCATATATTGGACACACCGCATTATAAACGCAATCTACAATGCATCCACTAGATGGAGGTACGCTCAAGGAAACACCAGCAGAACGATCAGATGTCAGTAAAACGTACTTAATAAAGCAGTGACACAGTTCACTTAACCAACAGCAAGTTATAACATTGACTCGTTAACGTTGAACTCTCTTGCCGCTGCTCTATGTCTGTGTTCAACTGCGTAACCCGATCGCCTTAAGTTTGAACTCTGCGTTGTAAGCATGTCTCTAGCAAGGAGCCATTTTGGGGGTCGACATATTATCGCACACAAGGTGCTGTGAGCTTTTAAGAAAATGGAAGCCTTTTAGGTGCGCCTTTTAGTGCGGAAAATAAGGTAATCGTGATGTCCAGTTTAAGGTCCATATACTAGTACCTTCTTTATCCTTGGTGTAGTTGAATGACTGCCTTCCTCTAGTACTAGTCTTCATTCTTCTACTAGTGCGTTAATTTGTCTACATTGCTCTTGAGCTGGATAGCAGTTTTAAGCCATAGTGAGAAAAACACGTCTACTAGTTGAGGCTTGAAGTGTCACAAGTGATGCACCGTAGTTTACCAATAGTGTTCAATTGCGTACTAATGGCCCAAAAGTGTCACGATAGTGTCACTATATTTCTAATAAGACTGCTGTTCCACTAGTGCAGCCTCGTGGTTCTACTAGTGAGCTGAATTGTCTTACTAGTGAGGACAAAGTGCATACTACTGCATGGACCTTAACCCTTTCATGCATCCTGTAACCTGATAACATGATAAGCTGTCCATTTTAGTGACTGCTGTCCCCGAAAAGGTTAAACTGGATATAAAGAATTCTGAATAAATAGTCCAGCGGCTTTTCCAAGTGGTACCTTGCGAGGCTTTGGCACAGGTGTTTCTCTGTCCTTGCCGTTACTGGAAGAGAATGGAAATTTTTTAAAGAGACATGAATGAAAACTGGTCATAGATTCATTTTCTATTGCTGACTTTGGTCGAGAGGCAGGGTAAGTCATGGACCTGGTTGTGGGCTTATTGTAGGCCACGTAGAAATAAACAATCACTCCCCCTCACGTGTACACCTATGGTCAATTTAGTTTACAATGAACATCATGAGCATGTTTTTGTAATGTGGGAGGAAGCTTTAGAAGATCCATGCAAGGAAAATACTGCGAGGCAGTTGTGCTAATAACTCCCAGCCCATTTGCTCGATTGGTAATGATCACCTTGGTGCTTTTTCATCCTCCAAATCCTTGAGCGGGAGCGTACTTGAAGGCTTGGACAGAAAATCATCCCGGTCTTTCTACAAATATGTAAATAAATAACATCACATTACAACAAGAGTCACATTGAGGTGCATTTGTGTAAAAAAATCACCTTTAGTTGATCTGCTTGCATGACCAGATTTGCCGCTTTGGCCTCCAGCTTTGCATTTAGCAGCCTGAAGAAAATAAGTGCCAAAAGTTAACAGTACTGAACACCAACTTTTTTTAGGAAATGTGTTTAGGGTCTTTGCCGACAATCAAAACGGAGGGCTGATATTGCTATTTATATTAATCAAAAGTCTCCGTTGGGTCAATGTTTGGACACAAAATACACTGAAAATTTGTATTCAAATTAAAGGTGCATCAATTAACTGAGAACAAATTGATTATTGAATGAATTATTTTTGATATTCAATTAATCATTTCGGTACAACTTACAATTGTCCAAAATCTGAGAATTTCAAACTCTCAACAGAAAATTTCTGTAATTCTTCATGAAAACCGACTGACTTTCGGGCTGAATCAAAATTACTATTTGCAAACACATTTTATTTTTAAGAACAAAGACCAACAGTTTTGCCCATTTTCTGACATGTTACGGACCTCCATTTTCTGCACTGTCAATTTGAAATAATGTCCCGTTTTTTATTTTTTTAACACAAGGATGGAAATTCAAATCGATTAATCTGCGTAAAAATGGACAAATGAATCAATGGTTAGTTGCAACCCTAATTACAACCACGAAGCAGAAGGCTCCTACTTGTATTTCTCCTCCTTCGCCAAAAGGTCACTCGCGGGCATCTTTGGTCTTCAAAATTCTTCGATCTGAAAGTAAAATGCGCACAATGGCTCAATATGACTCAAACGCAAGGGGGGAAAAACGTTATTTTCTATACATTTCGTAATGGCTCAATATGACTCAAACGCAAGGGGGGAAAAAACGTTATTTTCTGTACATTTTGTCCAACTAAACGTTCTAAATTGTGTCCAAATAGGTGTTCACTGAGATTCAGTACAGTCCAACAACCCTAGTAAAGAAGCTAAGATAGCATTTTTGCTCATTTTTCTTTTAGCATAACAAAAACATTGGTGAACGCCACACGTAAATAATCATTATAAATAAAGTAATCTATCGATATATTACTTATGTTATTTAATGGCTTACCAGGGCGACGACGGAGTGGTCGTTTCCACAAAACAAAAAAACCCACAAAAAAATAACGAGTATCCTGGTCGCCTAGCAACCGCCGCAACAACCCAGAATTGAAACAGATTACTTGAGTGGTGGGGCTTTTCTGTTTACAAAGGGGCTTGCGAGACTACAAAATAAACATACACATATTATTAAATACAAAAAAGAAAATACGTTTGGTGCGTCATCTGACTGCTCTTATCGCGTGGCTGTGATGCGTACAAGGTGAAATAAATAAAAGATGAACCGCAGCATAAACTGAACCTGCTGACGAATTGTTTGGCACTGCCGCAATTTTTACGATGTTTTTTGTTTTCTTTATGTTTCATTTCACTCATTCGCTTTGCATTCGCGAGTAGAAAAGTCGTGAAAAACAACTATTTCGTGTATTACTAGAGGGCGGCACTGGTTAGCACGTCCACCTCACATTGCAGAGTTGCAGAGTTTGACTCCGGCGCCTGCCTTCCCGTGTGGAGTTTTCATGTTCTCCGCGTGCCTGCGGGGGTTTTCTCCGGGTACTCAGGTTTCCTCCCACATTCCAAAAACATGCATGGCAGGTTAATGGAACACTCTAAATTGTCCTTCGGTGTCATTGTGACTGTGAATGGTTGTTGTTTGACGACTATGCTGTCCTGATATTGGCTGGCAACCAGTTTAGGGTGTGCCCCGCCTACTGCCCGAAGACAACTGGGGATGGGCTCCAGCACGCCCGCGACCCTTGTGAGGATAATCTGATCCAACAATGGATGGATGGAGAATATATAATAGAAGTAGAATCGTAGAACTATTTAATTGAATATGTTAGTTATTCATGGTGATGAGAAAATACTTTTCCAGACAACAGTGCTATGATGATGTTTAGATCCACATGACATCACAGGGGACCATAAATCATTTAATAACTAATTGGTGATATATTATGTTCGAATATATCAATACATTCATTGTAATTGTATTTTGAGTCCCATTGGTTGAACTCAGCACCAAAGTCGCATTTCACCCAACAGCAATCACTTTTAACCCATATTTGTGTCATTCAATCCCAACCCAACATGCAGGGTCACACCCATAATCCAGCCCAGCCGGTCTATTGTAACCACTGATTGAGTCAATCCAATCTTTGGAATGCGTAGGGTGATGCAATTAATCCAATTTTGGTTATTTTGAACCCAGTAGTTTTAAAGGTGTTGTAGCCACAAGTTTTACTCCTAAAAGCAACACTGTATTTACACACCCAATTCCAATCAAGCTGAGAATTTGTGTAAAACATAAATAAAACCAGAATACGATCTACATCTAATTGAACACACTCCAAAGGCAAGATAATTAATTTTCAAACAAATAAACTTAAAAGAGTTTTATGGCTGAAACACATGTATGTATGTATGAAAACAGGTACAGGTGGCAAAAAAAGACTGAGAATGTTGCGGAATGCTCATCAACCACCAGTCTGAAACATCCCACAGGTGAACAGGCTAATGGGGAACTGGTGGGTGCCATGATTGGGGGGTGGGGGAGGAGATTCCCTGAGTTGCTCAGTCATTCATAAGCAAAGATAGAGCAAGGTTCACTTCCTTGTTAACAACTGCGTGAGAAAATAGTCGAACAGTTTGAAGACAATGTTCCTCAATGTACAATTGCAAGGAATTTTGGGAGTTCATCATCTACGGTCCCTAATAACATCAAAAGTTTGAGAGAATCTGGAGAAATCACTGCATGTCAGGGGCAAGGCTTCACACTTCAGAAAACCAATGTCAGTAAATACAGTTCGACGCCAAATCCGTAAGGGCAATTTCAAACTCTGTTATGCAAAGCAAAAGCTAATTATCGGCAACATTCCAAAATGCCACCGGCTTCTCTGGGCCCGAGCTCATTTAAGATGGACTGATGTGGTCTGACGAGTCCACATTTCATATTGTTTTGGAAAATTGTGGACGTCGTGTCCTCTGTGGCAAAGAGGAAAGAACCATCCAGACTGTTATGTACCCAACGTTCAAAAGCCAGCATTAATGCTGAAAGGTACATGCAGGTTTTGGAGAAGCCAAACAAGCAAATTCTTTTTCATGGATGTCCCTGCTTATTTCAGCAAGACAAAGCCAAGCCACATTCTGCATGTCTTACAACCGTGTGGCTTCTTAATAAGAAAGCGCGGGTAGTAGACTGGCCTGTCTGCCTGTCTGTCATTGAAAATGTGTGGCGCATTATCGAGCATAAAATATGACAACAGACACCCCAGACTGTTGAACAGCTGAAGCTGTACATCAAGCAAGAATAGGGAAAGAATGCCACCTAAAACGCTTCAACATTTTGTGTCCTCAGTTCCCATGTTTTTTTTTTTTTTTATGTTGTTAAAAGAAAAGCTGATGTACTGTAACACAGTGGTAAACGTGACCCTGTCCCAGCTTTTTTTTGGAACATGTTCAAGCCACAAAATTTTAAGCTAATGGTTATTTGCTAAAAGCAATACAGTAGTTTATCATTTTGAAAGGTAACTATCTTGTCTTTGTCGTGTATTCAATTAAACGTAGGTTGAACATCATTTGCAAATCATTATACTCTGCATTTATTTATCCCAACTTCATTGGAATTGGTTTTGTATTCTTGCAAGTCACTGTAACATTAACACTGCTCTTAAAAAAAGGTTAAAAACTTAAAATGTATTGCACAAGTGAAATACAACTATCATTGCAATAGTAATATTCCTATTAGAATTAAATTAAAATATCATGTAAATAAATGACAAAAAAAATACATGTCTTAAATTTTCAATGACAATGTATTGTACTTTAAAGTTAAACATGTAGTGCACATGAAAGGTAATTAAAAAAAAACGTTTTTTTTTTTGCTTAATACTGACTATTTTATACACATATTTTCTTTTGTAACATTTTCATACTGTATCGAGGAATGAACTGGCCCATTTGTGCGTTTTGAAAACTAGATGTGGCTCTTGAACACAAGTGTGCTCCCCCTGCTCTCTCTGCTGCATAATACTGTTAAGTGGCATCATTACGTTGCGCTTACGTATGTCTTGTTTTTAATTGCTGTGGACGTCACTGCGCATGCGCGTGTCTGACAGTTACTACGCGGCGCACATGCACATGCAGTCTTGGAGAACTCCCGTAAGGTGAGAAGCACCGGAGGGACGAGCTTGTTGTTCCTCACACGTCCGCCCACTGCTTGGAAATTTACGTAGTGTGTCCACGCAGCGGCGAGTGAGTGTTTGACGTTTCTTTCCCATGAGGAGGACTGCAAAGTGCGGCGGGCTGGAGGGGCGAGATGTCGGAGGAGGGCTGCGGGCTGACGACGACGACGACAACAACAACAACAACACGGCGAGCTGTTGATGATGACGATGTGCGCTTAGCTCGGCAACGACCTCCCCTTGTTTAAAGCCGGCCAGCCCGCCTGGGCGAGTCGGCCCTTCCAGGGGCTCCTCGTCTGGTGCACCGCGGTTCAGACCGGTACTCCTGCGATGGCCGAAGAGGACGCCCAGCAGCAGCAGCAGCACGCGGACCGAGGGGCGGGTAGTTTCCAGCCCGGTCTGCTGTCCGGGCTGCAGGGCGCCGAGGCCGGGGCTCTGCAGCTCCGGATCAAGAACTCCATCTGGTGAGGGGCGCCCATACTTGCACGTTTGGATTTAACAACTTAGATTTTACATGAGAAAATCTCACGGTCCACTACCAAACAAAATTGTCCCCAAAGGTGGACACTCGGGTGACTTGTACCTTCTGCCATCTAGCAGAATAACATGTATTTGTTCTGCCTGCCAATACACGTGGCTGGCACAGATTAAAAAAAAAAAAAAAAAAAAAAACATTATTTGCAATAGATAAATAATTTTTTGGGGGACAATTATGTGAAAATTGATCATGTCACACCTGATGATTTCTCAAAGTAGCGTTTGGGAAGCACTGCTTTTAAGCATGGTGTCCAAATGGCATGCAGGTCCATTTATATTGGGTCACTGATTAGCAAACTAAAATTAGCAACATGACAAGATTTCCCCATATTGCCGAGTGTGGTGGAACTCGCCATTTGAACCCGAGTACAATACATCAAGAGTTTTGAAAACCTGGATGACGGGTTTGCGAGAAAGTTATTTTTTCTTTGTGTGTGTGTGTGTGTGTGTGTGTGTGTGTGTGTGTGTGTGTTAAAACAACAACAACAAAAACCTGTTGTGTGATACCACCTTTTAAAAATCTGTTTCAAAACACAACAACAACAAAAACCTGTTGTGTGATACCACATTTTAAAAATCTGTTTCAAAACACTTACCTGTTGTTCTTCTACCATTTCAATTTTTCTGCTCCTCGGAACCTCCTGACAAATTCCAGTTAAAAATGACCATGAATAAGCACATAAGGTGCGAAATTAGTTGGGGTTCTCCAAATCAACGAGTCAAAAAAACTTGACCTTAGTAGCAGAAATGGAACATTATTCATGAGAGAGGAACATTTCTTTTCAGAAAAATAGGGAACATACGCTGCGATTGGCTGGCAACCAGTTCAGTGTGTACTCCGCTTACTGCCCAAAGACAGCTGGGATAGGCTCCAGCATGCCCGCGACCCTTGTGAGGATAAGTTGATTAGAAAATGGGTGGATGGATGAGGTAATGTACATTAGTATTGTACTTTTGCCACCATCTTGGGGCATCTCTTGAAAGAAAAAGTAGTTGAGTTTGCACGACTGGCTGTCTTGTGTTGTATTATTTTGTCATTTTATGTTAACTGTTCTTTTGATGGCGGCGCGGGCACACGCACAGTCCTCTCTCTCCTGTGGTTGAGAGGAATGAAATTTCATCTGTGCTGTATGTTTAACATGTAGCACATTTGACAATAAAGTTGACTTGAACTATAGACACAGTACAGAAGTAACCTTTTTTTGGGTTTTGGGTTGGGGGGGGGGTATTTATTTATTTATTAATCAATCACAGCAGATCTCAATCCCTGTCTCCTGAAAATAGCAGGAATTCTTATGGTTGTGTTGAAACCATTAATCGAACACAAACTACAATCCCAAAATATTTTAAAGGGGAAGTCAAGTGGAATTTTTCTTGAAAATGTGTTCTGTGTGCTCCCACTATCCTAAACACGTTATTCTGATTAATATTTGGTTTGTGGAATAGGAATTAAGCAGAAAAATCCACCAGTTTGTTTCCATCTGTCGGGGCGGCCATTTTGTCTTGTACTGCCATACATATAGAGCATTCAAATGCAAAGGCCATCAACTGCCATTCAGAAAAAAAAACAAAAACAAAAAAAAAAAACAAGAGCCACGCCTACCCCAGCTGACCCTAGAGCACATATTACAGACCTGACAAATAGATACATAGATTGCAAAATTGTAGCGATTGTCCGTGGTTGCTGGTTTAAAGTCACATTTGGACTGAAATGACCCCTTTCTGTCAGAACCTAAACAAACTTGCGCACTGCCAGTTCATGTTTCAAAATGTCGGAACTAGGAGTTCCATACGTCTGAAGACAAGGAAAGTTACTTGCCACTGAGCAGGTGATGGGAGCGGTGGCAGTGAGGGTTATCGTTACCCCAGTATCGAGACTGGGATTTCACGGATCCGTTTAATCTCTCTCAAGTACCAGTTCGTCTCTTATCTGTCAGTTGAAAGAAACAGATCAGAGGTCTCATCCAGAGTGCCTGCTAAATGTGTCCTGAAAGCAAGCTAACGAGAGATCCCCGGCTTCCTGGTAATAGCAAATTAAAGTGAACTGTTCTCGGCGCAGCTTAGGGCCACCGCACTGACCCTTGCCGAGCCGCTGTCCTTAAATGTGACCCGCGTGTACCTTCTGTCTCGGTGTAAACAACAAGATGACCTGTCTGCAGATTAGGAATTAAACCTGGACAAGTCTGCCCACCGCCACTGTTGCAATCCCACTATGAATCAGCGAAGACAGTGCAGCAGCCGTTTATTGTCAGCCAACTATTTGGGAAATAGACCGTGTGCATTTTCATAACCTGTGATAGGTCCAGTGGATTTTTTTAATGTGGAAAAAAATGGCGAGGCACCGTTAAAACAACATTTACATCACTTACTGAATATCTTTGGTGCACTGTCTCACTTGACCCTAACGGATACTCCGCTGTTTGGTCTTTGTTCTATAAACCCTATATAGTTAGTTTGTCTGCCTCATATTTCTGAGGTTCTGAGTTAGAATCTCAGTTATGGCCTTTCTGGGTGGCGTTTACATGCCCTCCTGTAAAAACTTGAAAAGGAAATCAAATGAAATGAAATGTAATGTTAAGAAATCTGTTTGTTGAGACTCCTCCTTTTTTCCGAAGTTTGCAAACATTTTGTGCTATTGAACGCAAATGAACTCATTTCATGTTTGAAACTAGTGTACCTTAATGTTGGGATTGTAACAGGTGAAGAGAGAATATGAACCGCCTTGTCTTTTTACATGTGACTGCTTGTGTGGTGGGCTACATGACCTGAGAGATGCTGAAGGGGAGGGTCAACTCATGCCAGACATTCCTCTGCTTTATAAATAAATCCACTAGCGCTCGTGTTACTTAGCAGCCTACGAGCATACTAATTTTTCGATTATCTTTTCATTTCAGCAAAACGGTTCAGTCAAAAGTGGACAACATTCTGGTGAGTATTCTTTCGGTTTCAAACGTACTTTGTTGTTTTCATTATGTTAAAATACAACTTTAAATGACTGCCCACATGACCGCGATCAAAATAAGGGATCAATATGTGACTTTTGATCTAACTACTCGTAGTTAAGGTTGGTGTTTTATTTAGTTTGGACGTTAGTGTCGAGCACCGGTGTCAAAGTCAAGGCCCAGGGGCCAGATCTGGCCCCCCACATCATTTTATGTGGCCCGCGAAAGCAAATCAAGCATGTCAAAAACCATGATGCTTGCTAAAGTTTGAACCAAATTTTTCAAATTGTCAAATGTAATTCACAATAGCAGTCATTATTCTTGACTTCTGATTTTAAAACTAGTTATCCATCAATTCGTTGTGTACTGTATATGTAATATGTGGAGGTGATTAAACATTTATATGGTTTCCCAAAATTCATAACGGCCCTCCAAGGCAAACCGTGACTACAATGTGGCTTGCGGCAAAAATGAGTTTGACACCCCTGGGTAGAAGGAACAGTTGGAGGAAGGGCCTTTTCTTTTCCCATGTACAAAGCAAGTTCCTTAAATGCATACAGGGCGTCCTTGATTTAGGACGGAGTTCACTTTCCACAGCTGCAACATAACCCAAATTTGTTGGGGCGGCTGTTTTGCCTCGAGTCCATTTAGCATAATGCTAGCAAACAATGCAAAATGCTATCGTCGGGTGAATTTGTGAATAGTGAGCTGCGACTAGGCAGGTTTCACTGTACTTCACTTTGTGTCGCTGTACTGGCATGGTGTCCCAATACTTTTGTACACATTATGTATGCGTTCCAAGCCAAGAGGTGAACTGAATGCAAAGTATCCAAGTTTGAATTCTATTCATGAGCCTCCCATGTTGCCCACAGCAAAGATAACATTTAGCAGGCATCTCATCATCCTTGCTTGTCCCTTTATCCTTGAGCATCATTAGTACACAGTGCCGCGCTCGGCTGAGGAGGCAACGTCAAGGGCAAGTGAGACGTAGCTGAGCGCGATGAATGAATGAAATGATGAATGAACACCAGGCGAATGTGTTCAAAACATGCCCAAAAGAGGGTGGCTTTCAGGCTTGATTTTGGGCTTTACTGTACTGCTAGGCAAAAGACTATTCTTCTCTCTAGAAAATGTGGGAAAACTTTGCCTGTTTGTCTTTCCATAATACTGATCTGTGTCTATGTAGGTTACACAGATGTGATTAAACAAAGCCTTGCAACAGCAGTCCCGGAGGCCGTGCGTAAGGTTACATGTTGGGTGGGTTGCACGAACGTGACATGAAGGCATGTCAGTCATCGCAGTACTGTTGCTCACCACAAGGTGATTCTACGACGAGCGGTTATTTTATTTCGTCATCTATTCAATCTAATCAAACCCTGCATTCAAATGGCATCTGTGTTTAGCTCAGTTTAGGGAAAATTTCAGTTTCGGGATGCATTTTTCAATAATGGAGAGGGGATGCCTCATCAACATAACTCATTCCTGGCGGGAGGTAGTCAAGGTTATCTTGACCGGCACTGTTACTTGCCCAGTGACAGGTTCCAAAATGGCTACAGCGGAAGAAAAAGATCTCCGCCCATGTTTGTCCATGTCACTTATTGTGTTGGGGCGGCCCGGTGGTCCACTGGTTAGCGCGTCGACCTCACAGTGCAGAGGTACCGGGTTCAATTCCAGCTCCGGCCTCCCTGTGTGGAGTTTGCATGTTCTCCCCGTGCCTGCGTGGGTTTTCTTTGGGTACTCCGGTTTCCTCCCACATTCCAAGAACATGCATAGCAGGCTGAATGAACACTCTAAATTGTCCCTAGGTGTGACTGTGAGCGCGGATGGTTGTTCGTCTCTGTGTGCACTGCGATTGGCCGGCAACTGGTTCAGGGTGTCCTCCGTCTACTGCCCAAAGACGGCTGGGTTAGGCTCCAGCACCCCCGCGACCCTTGTGAGGATATGCGGATTGGAAAATGGATGGATGGATGGCCTTATTGTGTTGATATTTTGTCTGATATGGCCATCTCCAGCCGTCCATTTTAGTCCTCGTACCCATTATGTGAGCTGGAGTCTACCCCAGTTGACTTTGTGCAAAGGTTGGGGTACACGCTGGACTGGTCACCAGTGAATCACAGACAAAGAACTATTTACACTCACATTGACTTTGCTTCATTTTTTGAGCGTGAGACAGGTGTGGTAACCACTTGTCGTAGCTCAGATGTTACTTTGGGTTGGGTTCATTACCCGCCGCTCCGGAGGGAAAGTATGGAAATTGTGTCTGACGGCAAGGCCAATTCACTCCTCGAGCACTGCCGAGTAGTGCTGCTTTAAGTCACAGCAAGAAAATTCTTGCTTCAAATCTGGCTTTGATTGTGGTTATTCATTTATTTATTTTTGTGTTACTTGTGCTGCGTGGATTCAGTTCAGATAATCCAGTTTACTCCCACAGTCGAAAAACTTCTATGTTCACTGAAAGACTCTTAAATCAGTCGGTGTGTTCTCAGAGCATTGAATCAACCGCAACTGGACAAGCAGGTTTCATCAGTTCATACTCAAAAGACGAGAAAGGTCTAGTCTGAGGGCATGTGGAGGATCCATATTAGCCGTCGTTAGTATTCCATCCAGTTTTAACAATGATTATGAAGGCCAGAAGTGGCTGTGTCTTCTTTGTTATTTAGGAGCCACAGTAAATGACTGAATGTCTTTGGACGGGATGTTGAAACAGGATTAATTAGTATATGTGAGAGATGGGTGGTGGCGTTGACACCCCCCCCCCCCTGTTCAGAGATGGTTCTTCAACCTTGACTAATCTTTCCAAGCATCTGTCTTTACTGTCTCAAGTATGTACATTTTGGTCCTTCAAAAATGCTTTTTCGTTTTGACATGGAGGAAGACAGCTGAAGAGTTAGACTATTTCAGAAATGCGCAGTGGCTGCTTGGCTTCTCCAATACATACATCAGTGCATACACAGGTTTGTTTTTCTGGGTGGAGGGTGTTCGGATTTTGAGGGGTACCGCGGCCTTTGACCTAGGCCAGGTCGAAAGTGTACCGAATGTTGTATCGGTCAACTTGCTTCTGAGTGAAATGTGATTGGTTTTCTGTCTGTTTCGCACTTTACACACCGAAAATCCAAGCCGTTTTTTTTTTTCAACATTTTACCGGATGGTTGTCATGTGATTAAAGTACTGTACTGATACGTGATGGGTAGACTGAATTCGACCCGTCATTTTGCTATCTTCCAAAACTATCTGAGGCGAAACACTGCAGGAGTGTGAGGAGAGTGTAAAGTTTAACACTCAACCCAGTAAGTGTGTGTGTGTGTGTGTGTGTGTGTGTGTGTGTGTGTGTGTGTGTGTGTATATTTTTTTTTTTTTTACAAATTATATTAACATAGTCGGTAAACTGAAGTCCCTATTTCACCAGTGCTTTATCCGGTCTGTTCATACTTTTGCTTCTTTTGCTTGGTATGACACCGCTGTGACAGACAAAAGGCGCATTGCCCACAATGTCAAGGTGGCTGCAGATTTATGGGTGTCCCACAGACTCTCTTGTTGGGTGTCTTGAAAAAGCAGGTCATGCTAAAGACTCATATAGCAGTTTTCCACGAAGGACATCCTTTTCACCACTGTTTTCAGGTCCTTCCCAAAGATTTTAATTCCCCTTAAACTCATTCAATGCCGAGAACATTTTTTTTCAACTTTTCTTAAGAATCCAGGCATTCAATCCCAGGTATTTCTTAATGCATTTTGATTTTTTTTTCATGTGGTAAGGTAAAGCAGGTTCTGAATATGTCTGGCACTGAATGGGTTTTAAACAGGACGACTAGTACCAGAGACTGCTTTGTCCCGAGACCAAGAAAATTGCTCAATGTGTTGGATGACAAAACAGCTGAACTGTGACGGGTGTGTCCGCTTTTTGATCTGGTGACTTTTTAGGATTTACACCCTCTGCAAGACAACTTTCCCTTTTGTGACAAAGAACTGAACTAAACACCACTGTGTAATTATGCCATTATGCGTACGTTAGCGGTATGAACGTGCACTTCAAACACAGAAACATTCCATTTCGGTGTGCTCGCAAATCTCGACTCTGTCATTATACCGCCAATTTACTCGGAAGCTGGTGTGATTGACAGATGATCAGCCCATAGTGTCAGATAGAAAGATACGGATGGGTGGATTGATGCATGCGGGGAAACACACAACCTTTGCTCTTTGTGGAAGACTGTGTTTTCTGATAACTTAACATTTTCTTTTTCCACTTTGCTACTTCCACAGCAAGATGTTGAAAAGTTCACAGACATCGAAAAACTCTACCTGTACCTGAAGTTGCCTTCGGGTCCCATCAGCAGCTGCAGCAGTGAGAAAAGGTAAACAGTAATACAAGTGGCGGGTGGTGCGGAATGCGGACCTTTTTTTTTTTTTTTAATGAGTGATTGCATTCTCTCAGTGATCAGAGTGCTGTGTCATCAAGCCGCATGCAGCAGATGCATGCGTTCAACTGGATCCGCAATCATTTGGAGGAATACCCAGAGACCTCGCTCCCAAAACAGGAAGTTTACGATGAATACAAGTGAGTGCTTTCAAATGTTTTCCTTGATAAGAGTCAAGGTGTTATAGCTACCGGCCACAGCACTTCATTACAACCGCCAACATGAACATCAAGAGTCCTCCAAATTGCTGCCCGGCTGAAGCGCCATTATAAATAGACGCCGCAGCCCCGAGAATCGTAGAGCAGCATGTGCTGGTAATATTAGAATGGAAAGTCTGAGACAGCCATTCTCTGGCAGTGTTACATAACTGTCTTTCGGAGTTGACTAAATTCAGCCCCCCCCCACCAGATCTATTGGCGCCTTTGAGGTGGACAGGTGAAAAGGCTCGAAGGGATCACTATGTGCACCACTCCTAAACATAAGCCGTTTTCATCCCCATTTCATTTTTATTTAATAATACTGTCACCCCTCTCAACATGACGGTTCCCTTTCGACAGCTTCACTGCATCGCAGATTTTATTTCTTTTTCACCTGATCTATATTGCCGATGATGCCTTCTCTCGCCAGATATTTCAGTGAATATTTTTCCACAGCGATTGTTAACGACAAACTTGCATCGCGCTAAGCGAGAGCCAGGAAGACAGAGTGTGTAAGACAGAGAATGTCAAAACTTTGGCATCGTTTCATCCTTAATAAAAAAAAAAAAAAAAAAAAAAAAAAAAAAAAAAAAAAAAAACAAAATCAACCTTTCACTCGTGTAACGCCGGTGCAGACCTCATCCCGGAAGGGTTGTAAAAACCAATGTCGAGCAGAAAAAAAAAAAAAAAAAAAGCTAAAGCGCAATATCACTGTTGCTAATGCTGCATATTCCGAAAAAGTGGGAAGACAAATTTGTCCCACTCGGGTTGGACCAGATGCGACATCAAAACATTCGAGGCGAATGTAAACAAGTACGATGGTTGATCCGGATAAATTGTTTTTGGTTTTATTCCTAAAATCACATTTTGACCACCAGCAAACCTGCTTTCATAACTAGTTTTTGTATATATAGTAGGGCGGCCCGGTGGCCAAGTGGTTAGCGCGTCGATGTCACAGTGCAGAGGTATCGGGTTCGATTCCAGCTCCGGCCTCCCTGTGTGGAGTTTGCATGTTCTCCCTGGGCCTGCGTGGGTTTTCTCCGGGTACTCCAGTTTCCTCCCACATTCCAGGCTGATTGGACACTCTAAATTGTCCCTATGTCTGAGCGTGGATGGTTGTTCGTCTCTGTGTGCGCTGAGATTGGGCTGGCAACCGGTTCAGGGTGTCCCCCGCCTACTGCCGGAAGACAGCTGGGACAGGCTCCAGCACCCCCGCGAACCTTGCGAGGATAAAGCGGATCGGAAAATGGATATTTATAGTACCATACATTTTACCAAAGAACTTCATGCAGAGAGATCAATGCTATCACACCAACCCATCTCTACAAGCAGTAGTGTGTGAGTCGTTCTTGTTGAGAAATGATCACTGCAATGCTTGGAGACATCGATTTTGCCTTGATTTTTTTTTTAACCGTCAAATTATTGGCGTTATTCAATGAATCGTTTCAGCACTAATATATCATGGCAGGAATGTGTACATCTTCTGGATTCCATCTTGTGAGCGAGCTACTGTAGTCACAAACTGCTGAAAGCAATCCCATTGTGTGCATAATATGCTGTAATTGAATCCTGTCTTATTAAGAACATTTTGCTTCATGGATTTGTTGTTGTTGAAAAGGAGACAAGTCTTAATTACCGGTAATCAATTTAGTGTACACTGGCTACTTTTCTTCCAACTCTCATTTTCTTTTTTTCTTCAGAAGCTTCTGTGACAATCTCAACTACCATCCACTCAGTGCTGCAGACTTTGGCAAAATGATGAAAAATGTCTTCCCCAACATGAAGGCACGTCGACTGGGCATGAGAGGGAAATCAAAATATCCTTCACTGGAATGGACTGTTCCAGCCTGTCTCTACTCACTGGCCATCTGCTCTTACAGTTCATAAGCTCTCTAAATATAGACGTGAAATGAAATAAATTCCCCCCTCTCAAACAGGGGCATAATACACAAGTGTTGGGGGGGTTCGCTGTGATCTTGACCTTCAGGACGCATAACTCTTTTTTGGGGGCTTGTTGTCCTTCTTTTGACATCTATAGTGAAAAACATTAGGTTCATGACCTTCACTCACCTAGGGTGCTAAAATGTTATTACAGTAAACCACATTTTAATATTTTTTTAGACATGTAATAATGCACAGTTTACTTATACTTTATATATTGACAGTGTTATCAATGCTTAACAAAATCTGTTGCAATTTTACACATATTTATCTTAACACTGCATTACATATTGCTATAGTGGACTGAGGAAGAGGCCCTTTGTTCACTTTCCATGTTTACCAAGTCTGGAGCTACACAAAACCGGAGAAGGAGTGAGCCCATTTTCATCTTTCTTTCTTACAATTCAGAATCAATCTTTGGGTCCTGAAGGATTTTTTTTCATCGGTCTCGGACTGAGACATTGAGATTCAAGCACATATTTGATTGTGTTTCAGCTGCAGTGTGATGGACTAGATTCAGCAGGCCACCTCGGCAGCATGAAGGAGGAGGTTCGCTTCGCTGCTTGTGATTTGGTGTGTGAGTGGGCTCAAAAGGTGTTGAAACGGCCGTTTGAGGCAGTGGAAGAGTTGGCTCGCTTCCTGATGGACAGCCACTACATCAGCAACAAGTCCCTGGCAGCTCTCACCATTATGACGGACGCGGCAACAGGTGTGCAGCCGGCTGGCACCTCATGCACACTTACAGCGACATCTCGTGGCAGTGGCTTGGTATTGCGCTAATTGAGTTGTAACTGGGAGCAGCCATAACGTACCAGTACTTGTTCTACAACTGGGGATGTAATAATATCCAAACGTCACGTTACGAAATCACAATATGAACCTCACCAGACGATAACTATCACGATATTGTGGGGAAGTCGGTAATATAAAAAAAAAAACCCTCACAATATTGTATAAAGACTCAGAATATTGTTAAAAAAACTCACATTGAAAAAAAAAAGCAGAGTATTGTGTTTTTATACATAACTGTGACAAAGAAATAGGATTGGCTAATCATTTTACTGGCAATTGTTCATCTTGACTCAGTGGCACAAAGTATCATGTTCAATGGAATTCACGAGGCTGTGTTTGGCTGATAACACTGACTATTGAGGCACTCAGTGATGCACACACACATTATAAATAGAGTCAATTTGTGGAGGAACTCAAATGTGTTATGTTCCCCTTCATCTGGCTGTTAGTGGTCAAAACATGCCTACGGTAATTCAAATTATACTGGACTAATAAACGAACCACCAGATGGTGCTGGAACAGCATAAAAAGAACTGAAGTGGTGCGTTTAATAGCTTGACATGACGCAGATGACATTGTGGCAATTTTAATATCACGATACTGCTATTTTTGTGACATTCCTTTCTAATACTCTGCCAAAGTTGCCTTACTAGTGTGCCGAAATGTCATTCAGTAGTGGGAAAAAAAATACTTTTAAGGCCCAATCATTCTACAGGTGTGCCCTACAGTGCTTGTACAAGGATGCTAAATTATCTTGTGAACCTTAAAATGGATGTGAACCACAGTGTTAGGATTTTGAATATTCAGTATCCTGACATTATATAATTCTACTAGTTAACATCTAGTGCTTCACTCGTAGTACTAGTATTTTGAGTACATAGTTGTGCCACACCATTCATTATCTTACCAGTATGCCAAAGTTTACTAATGAGTGTGCAGCATTATCAAGACAGATGAACAAAGATACATTATCGTAGCAGGTGAATAATAATTTTCAGACCACAAAATGGTGAAATGGGATCATTTTTTACAGCAGAACTGATGATGTCTCACGACATTACTCACTAATGTGCTCAGGCACAAGTAATTACTCGGGTACATTTTTGCATGGTATTTAATTTGGAGAGAGACTGCATTCTGGTGCTATCACTCCGGAAATGATACTTTTAATTCATGCTATTGTTTTTATTCATTTATTTCAGAAGTGAAGCCTCTGCAGGCAGTTTCAGCTTTTGTGTCCACCACCGACGCACACTGCTTCCAGCCTCAACCGACAACTCTGTCATCTCCAACTGTCGATGCCAAGCAACAGCTCCAGAGGAAGATCCAGAGGAAGCAACAAGAACAAAAGCTGCACTCACCTTTACCCGGAGAGGCTCTGATCAAGGCGGTGGATGACAGCAGCGGGCAATGTGGTAGTCCAGTCTCTCCTTCGCCTCCGCCAACCATAGGCATTGTGGTTGCTGCCGTCCCAAGACCCGTCACGGTGAGAAACAAGAGGGAGGGTTCATTAGTCATTTTCTATTTAACCTATGTACACGTAAAGAAAATACATGACAATAATAAATATTTAACAGAAGGAAACAGATGAAACTGCAGTACTACTGACATGAAACATGAATACCAGTAGTAGGGACAAACGATTTTCAAAAATAATTCAAGTTAGATTTGTTTTCTTTTTCCTCAAAATTGCAATTGCGATTTAATATCCTTTTTTTTCCCCCAAGGTCCTCTTCCCATGTATTTTTTTTCACAAGCACTTTATCGACTTTGTTTGTCTGCAGACACAGCAAAGCGGCCAGCTGATGTCTGCCAGTCCAGTGGGAACCGGGGAGGGCAAACTACTGCCTATAAACTTCCAAGTGGTGACCCAGCCAGTTCAGCCACTGATACAAACCCCCAAAAGCTCCCAGAATATTCTGTCGAGTCCAGTGGGGGAACGCACAGCTCGGCAGCGCTATCCTCAAATCCTTCCCAAGCCAGCGACCACCACTGCTATTGCCCTGTGCTCGCCGTCCACCATGATTATTGCCAACAACCCCATCAAGACCGTGATGACCACGTGTCACGTCAGTCCTGTGAGTCTGGTCAAGATGACAGCCATCTCACTTGCAGCCTACGGCGGCAACGCCACTACTTCAGTTACAAACACCACTTTGAGGCCAGCATCTGCAGGCATCAGCAGCTGTACCATGTCAGACGACACCCTGAGATCCCGTCAGGATATGAGGAGTAGCTCTGCCCTCCCCATTCTGGCCCCGATGACGAGGCCTCAGCAGGTTGACGCCCATGATATCGATGTCGAAATGGAGGTTGAGGGTATCCACAAGAACAGAGAAAACCAAAATGTGAACAGTGTAATGATGACACACAGGGCTGCTAGCGTGCCCATACCTCAAACTAAAAGCTTCCACACCATGAAGGAAACTTCCACCTCGAATTATGATGCAAATATCCCCGTGAGCACCAACCCCACAGCAGTCACTGAAGCTGGCCTTAGCATTGACAACAACACAACTAATACAAGCTCTCTGCACTTAGCTCCCTTCTGTCAGAATATGAGACCTACCTCAACATGCAACGCCAACAGAGTATCTTCATTTGGGGAAGGAATCTGTGCAACGAAGAGCTTCCGGAAGCGCTCAGGCCTCAGTCCCGTCCCCTCTCCTATCAAGAGGGCTTTTCTGTCCCCTCATCCAGAAGAGGGCACTGCTGACGTTGGATACGGCAATCGAAGACCTGAGAGTGCGCCAGTCGCCCAGGAGATGGAGGTGAAAATGAACTCTCTCCTGCCCGGTCAAGTCCATACACTTGGCAATGCCTCTTTCAGAGCCAGCGGCTTCTTCTCTGTTGCCAAAACACAGAACTCAATGCAGAAGAAAAACACTTGCAATCTTATGGAAACGTGTACCAGTCTCGGTCACCCAATAATGCAGCAACCAGAGGAGCACATGATGTCTGACGTGCATTCCATACCGAATACTTCAAATTTGTCAGCCGGTCAACAACATGTTCAGACCTACGCTCACGTGAACCCTGTTTCTGGACCTTCGGATTTTTTGGATCAAGCATCCACGTCAAGCCAACTCCCTATGCAGACAGAAATAGGGTACTTCCCATTTGATGATGATGTCACTCAGGACAGCATTGTGGAAGAGCTGGTCCAGATGGAAGAGCAGATGAAGCTGAACAATAAACAAGAGTTTGGACACGGCGTCACGCTGCAAGGGCAGCAGGCTGTGATGTCACACAACATGATGTCCACCAATCAGACTGTGAACACTTTTTACCATGCTGCCAACAGCAGCGGCGTCAGCAATCTAGTCCAAACACCAACACCAACGCCCACGCCTACGGCAGAAATGACAGGTGCTCAAGGTTTGACCGGAGAGAGCCCCTGCTCGCGGATCACCCCTATAACGCCAGTCGACAGCGCCCTCGGAAGCAGTCGACACACTCCCGTCGGTACTCCTCTCTCCAACTGCAGCAGCACTGTGCCTCCCAGCCCCGTGGAGTGCAGGAATCCCTTTGCATTTACACCCATCAACTCGAGCATGACTAGTTTCCACGACAGCAGCACGGTCTCCAGCAGCCCCGTCAAGCCCATGCAGAGGCCAACAGCCACCCACCCGGATAAGACCAGGCTGGACTGGATGAATAATAGCTACAACAGCAACAATGGGATCTTCAATAAATCAAACAATGCCGTGGGAATCTTGCCCGGCTATCAAGGCCTCATAGATGACCACTTTCAAAAGCCTCACGCCTTCGCCGTCCCTCACGCAAGGCACCACGATGGCCATTTTGGCCGTTTGACTCCCATTTCCCCTGTGCAGCAGCAGGTAGCCAGCATGGCGAGCACGACCAAGCAGGAGGGCTTCGCCGTGCCTGCTCCTCTGGATAACAAAGCCAGCAACCTTCCCGCGAGTGGATCTTTTCGATGTCGCAGTGTTAGCCCCGCCATACACCAGAGGAACTTGGTGGGGAGCACAGGAACTAGTGGCCTTCACAGTATCCACCACACGCAGTGTGTCTCCCCGTTTAACTCTGCGGTAACGCCTGAGGTGTTAAACATTTTAGCCAACAACCAGGGAAATCTTGCGGTGAGCAGCGTGGCTCAAAGGAGTCGCTCTGTGCCCCTCAACATCATGATGCAGACGGAGGTTCGACCATTGCCGGGCCAGCAATGCAGCGGCAAAAATATCGCTGATGTTCTTCTGACTAAGCTGGATGGGGACCACGACAATGCGCGAGGTATGGGCATGAAAAATGTGCCTTCGAGCTACACGGCGCGTATGAATCTCACTCAGATCCTCGAGTCTGAGAACTTCAGCCCAATCCATTTGGACTCCACCAGCACACTCATGTCACAAAGGCCAATTTACCTCAATAATGAACAAATGTTTTTCTCTGCAAGTGATAGGCGAGCACACTCGGCCTCTGGGGGGCGGCAGCAGCAGCAGCAGGCCCAGTCCACACAGCAACCTTTAATTTCACAGCGACAGCAGTTGGGTTTCAGTGGCCCCTTTAAAGACGTCCAACCAGACAACAGCCTTACTACCGGCAATGCGCTGGTGCAACAGGTGTCGGAGCTAGCAGCGGGCGGGGCCGATTTTCCATGTGAACTCAGAATGACCTCGGATCTGTCCAGTAGCATCAATGACCTTAATACACTGGATGCAAACCTTCTCTTTGACCCCAGTCGTCAGCAAGGGCAATATCAAAGTGCAGCTCCGGAAGAGTTGCCCGAACAGGCACTTTTTCAGCAAATCGCCAGTGACACGACACATTCTGGTGGACTTGAGTGGCTTGAGAGCAAAGATCACACAACTGTCGGGCTGATGGGATGAATGCGGAGCCTGTTAAAATCATGTTGAATCCGTGGTGACCGTCAGCGGTTTGATGTTTTCCCACTTTGAAAGCAAACAGGACGCTATCCGGTTTGTCCAGTTTAATTAAGTGCCCACCTGAGCTGAAATAATGCTGCAGCCCTTTTATCAAAATGCTGGTCATTTCTTTTCATGTCATATTTTTGCTGTAACAGCATTTGTGACACAAGCAAAAGCTGGGGATGAAATTCTTACCTTTTTAATGTTTCTCCATCTATTTTATACCAAAAAAAAAAAAAAAATCAATTCAATTAAAAATGTTTTGTATTTTCTGTACATAATTGAAAAATTGCTAAATTTGCAGAATATATTCTACATCGCTGACAAGAATTATCTAGTAAAGTCCCAAGAAATTATGCTCGCCACTGGACTTGATAATAATGACGTGCCCGTGATGTTGTGCAATGTGGATTCGCTATCCAACTCACGTGTGAGCTTTTATACAAATAATGTGATGCAACTTGAAGAGATGCCACATGGGCATGAGGAAATTGGAGCACTTTGTACAGAATATTCAGTAAACATTACATCTAAAAAGAATTATTACTTTGTGTGTGTATAGAAGGTTTAACACCGTGTGTACTTTTCATACCAGGGGTGGGGTAACTGTTTCTCAGAGGCCTTTATAAAAAAAATAAAAAAAAACAAAAAAATTATCATTGTGTCGTACGATAATTTGCGTGTTAAAATTGCAATTCAATTCCTTTGAGGGTGAAATAATATGGCAAGCCTGGATGAAATGCTCACATACGGTCCATGTAAAAGTTCCGTCGGTTTCCCCACCCCTGATTTGTTCAATCTTACATGTAAAGGTGTATCACAAATGGAGTAAACGCAAGTAATTCAGTTAGCAGAAACAATAACTGGATGTCGTGGTTCATTGTCCAATACGTATGCAAATTTAAATCACGACACATAGGTCGGTTGCCTGTGAACTCTCAAATATCCATGAACTCACTCCTTCAGGCCAAAGAGATGCTAGTTCGGCCATTTTCAAATTAGCGTTCGGTTGAAGCCATAATGCACTTGGAAATGGAATCAAAGCAAAATTCAAGTTGCCTGAACCACTGTGTCAACATGTTCACATCATGTGTAACTTGTCATGTGCAAATTAAACAACTGTATATTATGCAATGAGATGATCGACGGATGAACAGTCGTTATGATCGTCATGCTGCACCGACAATCTGTAAATTGTGTGCTTCTCCAACCAAAATGCACCGTGCTTTTTCTCTGCGAGTCCTGAACTAAAAGAGTCCAAAGGCCTTCTGTCCATATCAAAGATCCATTTTAAAACGTAACTTGCACTAACATCTTGTCATCACTGCTGTCTTGAATGGTGGACATAATTGCCGCAGTTTTCAAGGGCTTTAAACAAGCAATGCTGTACGTAGAAGACTTTGCGGGGCAACATGTTAGCACTGTCAAAACGAGCGGTAAAAGTGAGCATTGCTAATTTCTTTATGATTTCCCCTCGTTCACAGTAGGCGTGTTGGTCATTTTATTTATTGTACAGATAGGACGCAATGTGTTGTTGTCAAAACCATGTAACCTTGCACATGTTATGTTGTTTCGAAGGATCCGGCAAAGTGCATAATATTAGCACGGATACAGTTGAATTGTTTTTAGTTCTACTTTGTTAGGATAACTTTCATGGTATCATGCTGTACAAGTAGAGAAGTACAGTTCTTTAAACTTGTGTTCATTGTAGTTTTGAACCCTAAATCTGTAGTTTTTTTTTCCTTGTTGAGCTTTTGTGTGTCTATTGTTTAAGAATACTCAATTTGGTTTGCACTGATATTTATTTATGTTCTTAAGACTTTACTGCTCCTCTTGTAAGTGATTCAGTTATGTTGCTGTATCAGGTGAACAGCAATATATTTTATGTGCTTTTTAAAGGAGAAGTGCTTGGTTTTTAAAGCTTGTTGTTTTTTTTTTTAAATATTTGAATAAACCATTTTCAGTACACCAAAATTGGCATTGACTAAATGTCTGCAAATCACAAAGATGCGCTACGAGTACCACGAGTAGTACAAGGGCTCATTTAACATTAAAAACCCCAAATACAACAAAACTTATGACAATGACGCTTGCATACACCCCATTTATGCATTTAAAAAAAAACTTTTCAACTACACTTTTTAACTCATTCAATCCCAGCCATTTTCACTGGAGCATCCCCCTCAATCCCAGCGTTTTACTGGATTTTGACTGATCTTGCAAGGCCCACAGAATATTTGGTTCTAATGCTATATAAACATGGAGCGGGACAAAATAAAGTTTGGACTCTCTTCTTTCAGCAGAAAAAAAATGTTGTTTTTATCTTTTTCCATTCTTCAGCAATCGGCATTACAAAATGGCTAAGTTTCATGAAAATGCCGATTCCTGGGCAAAAAACGGAGAAAAAGAGCTTTTTGTAAAAGCATGCATTTCAAGCACGTGAGGCACCACTGTCACCTACTGGTCGCTTTTTTACATGATTTACACTGCAAATGGCTTATTCTCATTCACAGATTGCATCAGACCCTCCTCGTCTCTATGACGCAAAAAAAAAAGACTTAGACGTACAAGTACGTCCTTGGTAGATGGGGCCTAATTTTAAAAAGACATACAAGTACGTCTTGTGGAATGAAAGAGTTAAGTACAGTTCAGTTGTATTTATCTTTCAAGAGCAACACACTTATTTGCATTGTCTTATTTAACTTTTTGAATGCTTAATTGCAATATATTTGTAATTGAATCAAAACTATTTTCCCCCTGTATTTAAACCATATGATATGCATAATGCTACGGTGGCTAACAATAACATACATTTTAGTAATAAAACCTTGGTCTTGTGTTTGACGAACACTTAGGATCGTTGCTATATTTTAATGTGGATCAGTAGAGTACTACTTAGAGAACTAAGTCTTTATTAAAAGTAGTGTAAAATGTTTAAGTGCTTGGTTGGACAAAAGTATCAAGACACAAATACCAATACATTTTGAACAAATGTGTATTTAAAACTTTGGTGAGTGAGTAATATGCTTTTCGGTCCCCAATTCACAAACCAAAGTACCTTTAAATCGTCACAGGTGTTTTCCACTATTATGACTCACAGACACTCCATTAAACAACCTTCAGGTGTAACTAGTGGCATAAATAATGAATGTGTTCCATTTAGTTAGGCAGGACAGCCTGCAGGGAGGCGTGATGTTTTAACCTTAGTCACAGTTTCCATTAACTCCACTTAACTGTAATTAACCTACAAATTGTATTAACTCCTCTCAGGCAGTGCCAAAACTCTAAAATACTGTTTTGCAAAGGCAGAAATTGTGAATGGATGGGACCAGCCACATTTTCACACAGAAAATTGGTCACGGCTGGTAAGAAATGGATAGACAATTCTGTTTATGTACATATTTTGCACAGTTAATTTGACAAACTATAGTCAGTTTTGTAAAATGGACTCTCACGCATGCTGTATTATTAGAGAATTACACATACAATGTGTTTACAAAAAAATAGACAACATAAATTTGACTGACCTTCCTTGTATTTCACATCAGCATAGCTTTTGAGTAGAAGATAAATACTAAGTGGTGAATCTCAGCTTGTCTCGTCGATTATGATGGCAAGAAATGCCCAAGCGTTGAAAGCAGGACATGTTTTGGTCAAGTCAAGTCAGCTTTTATTGTCAAATATGCTCTATGTATAACATATAGCACAGATGAAATTACTTTCCTCTCTCAACCACAGTGCAAACATGTAGTGCATTGAACACACACAGTATAGAACAATGTATGTGTCGCAGTAGGTAGTAGAAAGTGTGTTGTTATTAATGTAAAAATGCCACTGATGTTCACCTCGGCCATGCTGTGAGTCAGCATTGCTGATGGTGCGAATCTGCCGTTTAGCATATGCCAACAAGTGTTATGACACTAATAGTAACAACACAGAGCAGTCTCGTAGCGTTTGTTATTCTATGATGAATGCAGTTGTCATTAGGTTCTGAAAGCATTTTTTAACAGCTACGGCTGTTGTGAAAGTGCTTCATAAATAGAAATGGATTGTGCTGTACAGTGAAACTCCTCTAGAACGAAACCTGCATGGGCGAAAATACCCCCTTATGTGAAAAAATCTTCATGCATTAACACAATTCCCATTCTCCTGCCCCCCATACGACGAAAAACCCCCTGTTGCGTTATACGAAATCATTTTGTCTGCTCCAGCCTCGCGAAGACATTCACTACAACGAAGTCTTATCCAACAGCGACCTCTACTGCTTCGTTCGAAAAAAGGCAACAGCAACCACCACACTGGTTTACATAGTGAACGATGTTTATTTCGGTCACAGCTGCGAGTTTCCTGGACCCAACATACTCATAGCTGCTCTGCCATTGGCTTGCCGAGCATCATCTTGGAGGACTACGAAGCGTCCCGTGGCTGTTTTTAGCATGATAACAAGTAAAGCATTCGAGGAAACGTTCGTTTATTTGAATGTCCGTCGAGCCACTGGCGCGCTAATGAGAGAGAAGCGCTCCAGTTAGCTAAGGTTTTTAGTCTTCGAGAGCTAACTATGGCCATCGAGGACTACGAAGCGCCCCGTGGCTGGCTTAAAAGTTCATTGCATGTCAGGAAGTATTTGTTATTGTTAGATTCAGACGAGGATGGACGTTGCATTGCTAAAATGGCTACAAAACGGACCTTTTGATGTCAAGCAGCTAAGACAAGAAGAGCTCTGATGCTGGAAGAGAGGGTAAAAGTGATCAAAATGAAAGACGGAGCAAGCAAAATAAAATACATTTTCCAAGAAATTGATGTAAGTGAAAGTGAATGCTGATCGTAAATTTTGCAATTTCTTTCCCTTTTTTTCTTTCTACACTGACAATATGAAGTGTCAAATAAGTGTGTGCTCATACTTATGTACTATTGGAATAAAAATAGAGTACACAAACGTTTGTGTGTGCGTGTACACATACGTTTGTGTGTGTGGGTGTGTGTGTGCTTACATCTAAGATCAAATTTGCTACAGTGAAAAACCCCCTGTTGTGAAAAATTTCTTGCTGCAAACATGATTTCGTTGTAGAGGAGTTTCACTGTATTGTGTAAAAAGCTTGTTTTCTCCGCTTTTTGGTCAGAAGCAGGTGGGTGGGGCAAAACCAAATCATATTCTACAAAAGCTAGAAAACAAACTTCTTTTCTGGTGAAATTATTTCTTTTGGTACGTTCCGTGCGTATATTGCCACAAAAGACAGTAGTCTGTGGGTCTCCAAAGATCAGCTAAAATGCTCTAGAACTGGCCGTGAATGTGTTAAAGACATTTTGCACTTTTAATGACGTAAGGGCGTAATTACTGCTCAAACGTATACTGTACTATATAAGCATGTGCATACAGAGGGTTATCCAACTCGAGCAAATTGGCTTGTGTATATCGGGTTAAGGTTGAAGATGTTCAGGGTGTTTTTCTCAAGTAAAAGGAGGAGAAGGCGGAGGAGGCGGAGGAGGAGGAGGAGGCTGCGAAGGCGGGAGGTCGGGAGGGATGGATCGAGGGATCGAGGGAGTGACCGCCATGTCGCACTTCCTCGCGTAAACATACGGAGGAAATCATCTCAACAGTCGCAACTGCGAACTGTGCGCGAGTCACAATAAGTGCCATTTACCTGCTCTCTTCTCCTGCGAGCCGAAAGTTTGGAATATAATGGCCGCACTTTCGCCAGAGATCCGAGGACTTTGGAGCGACGAGGAGGTAAAAGAAAGTCTCTCAACAGATTTTGGCAGCGGTGAACGTCGACTTGCTTCACTTTACGTGACCACTCCTCCTTTTAGCTAGCTTGCTAGCGAGGAACTGGTTAACGTCTCGACAATTAGCTAATTAGCGCCAACACCGAAACTAATGTTAGCTTTTCACTTGTTCCAACTGACTACTTGTCGTCAAGTCTGCTTAAAAAGTTGACGGGACTGTTTTTTTTTTTTAAAGGCTTTGCAGTGTTTTGGACTCAAGATGTATTCATCTCTAGAAGGAGACTTCCTGTTTTGAGGCAACCCATCGTCATGTCTTTCTTGTCAGTCATTGCGAAATATTGTACACGTCATCGGCATGTGACGTCAAAAAACTTTCACCGAAGGTTACGTGATGAAAATCACAGGTTGTTTTCGGAATCACTCATGCTCTGCTCCCAATTCACTGTACAGTACTGGATTGGGATTTTTATGAAGTGAACTGCGAGCATTGTGACAAAGTAAGGACTCGTACACAAGTGGGTACAGAAGTACACGGTAGAAAAGTACAGAAGGGAGTACAGAAGTCAAATGTTGTCACAAAAGAAATACTCAAGTATAAATTCTAAACAAAATTACTTAAGTACAGTATTGTAGTGTACTTTGCCTTCTACCACTGCTCGTAATACCATTAAGCACACCTGTAGAATGACGATGGTGCCCTATCAAGAGTCTTATTAGTAATGTTGTTATATAGTGCAACTTTTGGCCTACGAGCATGCAGTGATACTTTACTCGTAAATTACAATTACTGTGCTGCACAAATAACGTTAGTTTGCCCAACTCGTGGGCAAGTGTCACACGCTCGCAGCCTCGTCCTGCACCAAAATTACCACTATTTTTGCCTCAGTGGTATTTGTAGTTCTATTAGTATGCCATAATAGTCCTACTTGTGTGCAAAAATATCACACGGTAATAGAGGACAGTACTGGAGGGGAAAAAACATTAGTGAGCGAAATTGTCATGCAAGTGAGGATAAAGAGCATACTAATAGAAGGACCTTATGATGGACATCAAGATGTCAAATGAATTCTCAATCCTTGATACATGACCAAACTTGGGCTCATATCAGATTCTGAGTGTACTCACAACATAGGGTTTACTTAAGTAAATATGGTCATCTTTTTATCGTCCCATATCGACTGAGGAGCGATACCGAAGCAGTTAGGAAT